CATTCTCCCCCAGAATAGCATATGACCACTGTCAGCTTTTACAAGGGGTTGAGTGAGTTTTGCACCCCCAGACATACATATGCAAATTGGAAACTCAACTCAGATCACCTGACAAATAGTTGGTTTCTAACATTAGACACCAAGATGCTTTTTCACAGGTTATTCTCTCTTGGGGTCAGTTTCCACTCACTGGTACTCTGTGATCTGCGCATGCTTCCCTCCTGTGAAGCCAGCCATTATTGCACTTTGCAACTTAAATCCTTTTTCTTTCTTAAAGAGTTAAAGTTAGAGAAAAAATGGTGAAAGAGGAAAGTGCTTGAAACAGCCCTGAACTCACCTCAGAGTCCGTAACTCAGAGGAGACACCGGCCCGCACCAGTCCATTACCTGCCGTTTCAGTCCAAGCACTTAGCCTTTGATAGGGTCCCCAGCAAGATAGCAGGCTCTGCATGACAGCCAATCCGTGGCTATGGGTCCCGGCCACACCGCCAAACTGGTGACGGCAGAACCCCCAGAACATGTATCTGAGTGCAGCTGGGTACCATTGGCCACCCAGAATGTCCCCAAACCTCCCACCTTGAAGGTTCTAGAAGGTGAGAGAAGGGATAGTCCAATTCTCCATATTGGGAGTCAAAAGAAGCTGCAGGAAGAGAAGAAAGAGGAGGCAAAGAGAAGAAGGAGGAAGAAGAAGATGATGAAGAAGAATGGAAAGAAGAAGAAGAAGATGTGCTCTTCACTGAAGCTCTCCAGCAAGCAAGAAAACCCTACTGGCTTTGGAGGGTTATGGGCTTTTGAGAAACCAGAAGATCCCTCTGGAAATGAGGACTTCGGTAAGCCTGCTGTGAGCACAGTCACCTTAGAGCATCAAAAGGAACTGGAGGTCAGGCACAGTGGCTCACACCTGTGATCCCAGCACTTTGGGAGGCAGGAAGATCACCTGAGGTCAGGAGTTTGAGACTAGCCTCACCAACATAGTGAAACCCCACCTTTACTAAAAATACAAAAAAAATGTAGCTGGATGTGGTGGTGCGCCTGTAATCCCAGCTACTCGGGAGGCTGAGGCTGGAGAATCTCTTGAACCTGAGAGGCAGAGAAGGAACTGGAAAGCATGGCACAGCCCCCTCAAGCTCAGCACCAGCCCACTGAGAGGACAGGCAGGAGCGAGATGGTCTCTACGTTCAAAGTGAGCCTGTGTCCCAAGACGCCAAACCATCTGGTCTCAACAAGGAAGCCTTGTCAGATTTCACAGGCCCCCCTCACCTCCAGGCCTGGAAGTGTAAGGACCCAGCTTCCCGGAGACAGCCGGGGCTTCCCAGCCCCAAGGCGGAAGGGCCCTATGGGGAGTTCGGGGTGCTGGACACAAAGGTCTCTGTTGCCCAGCTCCGAAGTAAGTTCCTGGCATCTGCCAACACCACCAGGACACCTGAACTGTAGGTGATGCTTCACATGCCCTCCAGCTGTGTCACTTGCACGTCACTGGCAGAATGACTCACTCCTGGACTTGTGTTGTGTTCTGCATTGAATCATACTAGCTTAGCTCACAGGTGTGTGCAGGGCAACTGTGCAGAAAATGGCTCAAAAACTACCACTCTGCTTCTGCCTACTAATGGGGAATAGCGGACTGGGTCTCCGGAATGCCCCCTTCCTTACGTGCATGGTAGAGGCATGAAGAGGGGTTTGGCGGTGTCTGTGCCTTGACTCATGGAGATGCATAAACCTTTGCTGTCTTCTCTTTCTGTCTTCCTTTGCCTTCCGTATACGCTCTGCCCTTTGATTCTAAAAGCAAATCACGGGTGGAGAGGTCGGCCGAAGGACCTGGCTTGCCCACAAGTGTGGAACGGGAGAGAGGGTCCCGGAAACCAAGACGCTATTTTTCTCCTGGTGAAAGTAGAAAAACTTCCGAGAGATTTAGAACCCAACCTATAACTTCAGCAGAACGAAAGGAATCGGATAGGTAGGCGTGCATCTGTGCCATTTCCTAGTCCAGGAACGTGACAGCGACACGGGAGTGTCACATACTGACGGCCTTCACGCTGTTTATATAGGATGCTGGCCATTCCATGATTCTTCCATCCAATCTATAAGCGTTAGGAATTTGGCTTATTTAAAAGTCTTTTTAAAGAATGTCGGCCTTTATGGTGGTATTATGATACATACACAATTTCACATTGCACATCTTCAGATGATGAGAAGAGATATTGTTTTCCTTCATTTCATGTTTTTAATGTTTTTTGCCCCTTGTTAAATTAGACTCCAGATTGCATATTCACCTGATTTTACAGTGAAAGTAGCTAAGGGATTTTATATTCATTTTATAAATGTCTGCCTACCTGTCGTATTTGCTTTATACTGAAGTGTCATACTCTGCTGTACAGAAGTGATGAGGATTGTGTAAACATTGTCCTCAGTGATGTGTAGTATTGCACGTGTGCCTGGTCTCCCCACAAGGCGTGTCCTTGGCTGGGATTGTGTGCACACACGCTCCACAGTGTCACTTCACAACTGTGTGTGTGTGTTCACAACTAGAATGCTACCAGGAGGTTATGTCTTCAAAGAATGTAATTGCATTTTTAGTTTGACCTTTAATATGATGCTTTATTTAATCTTCCGCTCCCACCTGCTGATTGATGGTGATTATTTGCTAATGTCTTTCCCAGGTGCGCTTCACAGTCAGAAACTCCAAGTACTGACGGCAAGTACCTTTTCCCCTCTTCTGCCCCTTCTCTGTTACCTCATCTAGACGGGATTGAGCAATACAATTTATGGCTTTATGAGAGAATAAGATGATAGAGCATATCAATGTCTCTTTGCTGCAGGTTTTCTTTCTGTGAATAAAATAAAACCTAGTTGCAATTTGCAGATGAGCTTTCCCTTCGTAATGAGAACACTTTCTCAGAAAGAAAGGAAACAGTTTTGAGAACAAGAAGAATTTGTTTCTTTGGTTTGAATTAGTTGTTTTTCTATTGGTCACTGCAGTGTTGCTGCTGCTACTATTATTTAAAAATAAAAGAAATCTTCTCCATAAATATATTCATGAAATCTCGATCGGACAAACGTTAGAGTAGCCATCCCTGGACAGAGTTTGCCTTGGTTTGGCTTGGTTTGAATTGCAAGGGAAATTAGTACCTTTTCACTGAGCAGAAAGAATGGGTTCCCTGCAAGGGGAAACTACCACCAATTATTATTTTAGTTCACCTATTCTTGTATTCAGAGATTTCCAAGTCAGCCCTGGAAGGCTTTTTGGAGACTGAACTTATGTTTTCTAATGATGTCCAGTTTTTAAGTTGTGGCTTAAAAAGACGAAAAAAAAAGTGGACGAATGAGAAAAGCTGAGCATCGCAACCAAGAGGCTGCTTTTCAGGGTTAGCCGTGCTGACGTGCTTGAATAGAGATCATGACCCCTGGGTGCAGTAATCCTAGCTACGTGGAATGCCAAGACAGGAGGATTGCTTGAGGCCAGGAGTTCAAGAACAGCCTGGGCAACATAGTGAGACTGCATCTGAAAAAAAAAAATTTGTAAGTCTTAGTAGGGGAGAGTCTCACAGCCCTAGCCTACTTCATGCACCTCTGGGTATGCTGAGGCCTTCCTGGCTCTGGCCCACCTGTTGTTCTCTTCCTAGTCTTTGGGTGGTTGTGGCCACCTCGTGGACACTGCATGAGTGTACATTTCTAACAATATACGAGGCTCTTATTTGTGAGCCTCCTGTAGGTCCTGTAGAAGAACAGAGTAAAGACTTTTTACGGCCTCCATTTCCTTTCCTTGAATTTATTTTCTTTATTTTTTTAGAGACAGGGTCTTGCTCTGATGCCCAGGCTGGAGTGCAATGGCATGATCATGGCTCACTGCAGCCTCAACCTTCTCTGCTTAAGTGATCCTCCCACCTCAGCCTCCTGAGTAGCTGGGACTACAGACCACGCAACTATGCCCAGCTAATTTATGCACTTTTTGTAGAGATGGGCTTTTACCATGAAGTCCAGGCTAGTCTCAAACTCCTGGGCTCAAGTGATCCTCCTGCCTCAGCCTCCCAAAGTGCTGGGACTACAGGTGTGAGCCACTGTGCCTGGACTAGCTTTTATTTTATTTTATTCTTTTAAATTGTTTTTGTGCTTGCGTTGGACACACAAACACCCTTCCTGAGAATCAAAATGAAGATCATCCCATTACGTTATTGACATTCCAAAAGGTCTCTACGCCAGTGACCCATTCTGTGGACCTGCTGTTAGTTCAGCTGCCTGCACTTCCTCCTCAGTTTATTGGTGCATTTGTAGCTAAGTGTATCTTTGCACTCATTAGGAACTCTTTGCAAATCAGTTTTTTAAAATTAAATATTTGAATGGCTGGTGTAAAATAAGCAGCAGCTACCCAGGGGAGCAAAACAATAAATATAAGAAAAATTATCTCCTTTTTAGGCTCAATGAATCTACTTTGATGTGCCTATAGATTGTATAAAGACAGTGATGCTTTAAAAATTAGATTGAAGCCTGGGCACAGTGGCTCACATCTATAATCCCAGCACTTTGGGAGGCTGAGGCTGAGAGATCACTTAAGGTCAGGAGTTTGAGACCAGCCTGGCCAACATGGTGAAGCCCCATCTCTACTAAAAATACAAAAATTAGCCAGGTGTGGTGGCACATCCTTGCAATCCCAGCTACTGGGGAGGCTGAGGAAAGAGAATCCTTCAACCGGGGAAGTGGAGGTTGCAGTGAGTTGAGATCGTACTACTGCACTCCAGCCTGGTTGAAGAAGTGAGACTCCTTCTCAAAAAAAAAAAAAAAAATGATTGAAAACTATATTCTAAAACACAGACATAATCTGATTTGCATAAAACAATACAGTGTCAGTTATAATAAAGGGTTTGGTTTGTGAGTACAGCACATTTGAATATTAAAGTATTGTTTTGGAGACTAGAACCGTTCTGGGGTAAATAGTTAAAGCTGACTTCCTGTGTCTCACACCAATTGCCACGAAGCATTTTGCTGTGTGGGGACCCTCTGGGGAGTGTGGTTTTCCCACACAGTGTAGCGTGCTGCAGATTTGCATAAATCCCAGCGGATTGGGTCACCCGCCGCGCGCCCACGGGTTGAACTCCGAGAGCTGAGCTGTTGGGGGCGAATCGCTGGAAGAACGTTCCCCTGAGGAGTTCAGTGCTGATGTTGCTCTTTCCCTTCCCAGCGGCAGAGTTCGGGGAGCCAGCTTCCGAGCAGACGGGGGCAGCTGCTGGGAAAACTGTGGCTCAACCCGCAGCCCCCGCGTCCTGGAAGCCCCAGGATTCTTCGGAACAGCCACAGGAGAGGCTCTGCAGGAATCCGTGTGCGATGTTTGCTGCTGGAGAGATCAAAACGCCGACGGGGGAGGGCCTTTCCGACTCACCCAGCAAAACCATGTCTATTAAAGAAAGGTAATGAGACTCAGGGAGCGAAAAGTGAATCCCTCGGGGAGGAGCTCACAGCTTGCTTTTAGAAAGCGATGTGGGTGGTGGGCAAAGAGATGAAATCACACATTCCCCTTCTAAGGGGCTGAGCTGTTATCCTGGAGTAATTCCGAGAAGCCGAGGTGCTTGCAAGTGAACTGCCTTTGCTCCTGAGCCTGGTTTAGTAATGAAGACAGGGCGGGTTCCAGACTCAGATGAGGAAACAAACTTTCTGCTTTATTTGTATGTTTCCATTGTCCCAATATCTTTTATAATATTAAATTATTGGCTTATCTAGTGACAGGAGCTGAGATCTCGGCTTTTTCCCTTTTAGATACACAGGGTCCATAGTGAATGTACAAACCACTTGTGACTTTGTGTAAAATATGTGTAGAGGGAATGAAGATACATTGACATACAGGGCATACATTTTTGGGCTTAGAATCCAACTTTTGTTTCCTTTACAGAAAATAAAATGGATGACTTTTCTGAACTGCATTTAGAAAGTTTATGTCAGGTAATAGCTTGAAAGATTCCGTTTGAGCATCAAATAACACAGTGGCCTCATTTCTTTCAAAGAATGATGCAGGATGCAGAGGAATATATTTAAATGAGACAGCTACAGAGAATTGGAAGTAGATTACCTTGGGAATGTGTTTTCCTTGTTAGCCTTTAACTATCGATGAATTAAGCAGCAAAACATGCAATAGTGGGAATAAATGCAGAGTTTGATAGCAGAGTAGGGTGACAAGATAAAAAGTATTGTACTCAAGTGACAGAGATCCTAAGTACAGACTTGATCGCTATGCATTACATATGTGTAACAAAATTTCTCATGCACCACACCACATAAATTTGTACAAAAAAGAAGAAAGTCTTCAATAGGAAAAAAAAACATGATGGAATAGTGATAGGAAAACTGGGTGAAGAAAAGTCTTGTCAACTCCAGAGAATAATTAGGAGAAGCATTTCCATCTCCTGTCCCCGCAGTTCTGACATCTTCCGCCCTTCCTCAGCAGCTGCCACCACGCAGAAGCCTGCATGCTTTGTTAGACGCTGACCACGCTTATTTTTCTAGATATGTTTCAAACTGCCTAAGACTATACCAAACCACAATGAAAAGTCTTCTATTGTTTTATTTTTTATTTATTTATTTTTTTTGAGACAGAGTCTCACTCTGTCGCCCAGGCAGGAGTGCAGTGGTGCAAACTCTGCTCACTGCAACCTCCACCTCCCGGGTTCAAGGGATTCTCCTCAGCCTCCCGAGTAGCTAGAATGACAGACGCATGCCACGATGCCTGGCTAATTTTTTGCATTTTTAGTAGAGATGGGTTTTCACTGTCTTAGCCAGGATGATCTCCATCTCCTGACCTCGTGATCTACCCTCCTCGGCCTCCCAAAGTGCTGGGATTACAGGCATGAGCCACCGTACCCGGCCCCTTCTTTCTCTCTCTCTTTTTTTCCAGATGCATAGTCTTCCTCTGTTCCCCAGGCTAGAGGGCAGTGGTGCTATCACAGCTCACTGCAGCCTCGAACTCCTGGGCTCAAGTGATCCTCCTGTCTTAGCCTCCCCAGTAGCTGGGACTACAGACCTGTACCATCATGCCTGGCTAATTTTTTCAAAAAGACTTTTTGTAGAGTTGGGAGACCTCACCATGTTGCCCAGGCTGGTCTCGAACTCCTGGCCTCAAGTAGCTCTTCTACCTCAGCCTTCCAAAGTGCAGGGATTACAGACATGCACCACCATGCCTGGACCATCTTTCTAGTTTTAAGCCAAGCTTCTTGAATATTATTTGTAAAATAATAGATGGCATCTTTTTCAACTGACAAATTAATAAGATTGTTAAATCTGAGTTCATGGTAAGTTAGACCTGGTAGGCTGAGGGGCAGAGGGAGGGGCAGAGGGGTCAGTGCAGTGAGGAGAGGGATGTCTTCAACCAGGGAAGCAGTTGGGCCTATTGAGGTTTGAAGTTCTCTTCCATGAAAATGGGACTCAAAGAGAGTTTCATCCTATAAATCCAAGTATTAATAACTAGTTAGATGAGGAGGAAGAGAAATTATTTAAGGAAATTAACAATAAATATCACTTATGCACAAGTTCTGATGTTTTATACATGAGAAGATATCCCTGGGGTATTCCCCAGTGGGAAATAACTCATATCATGCCCCCTTCTTTCAAAGGCTTTTAAAGGAGCCTCCCCATGTTTGGGTATTTTCTGTCAGTAGGGACTTGGACTTTTGATGGAGGAGCCCTGTATCTGTCCACTAAGCCATAATTCCTGATGCACTTTCCTGTTTTTTGATAAATTTGAGTTGATCTGTATCTTTCTGAAAGTTTTAATCCTACTGTAAAATTCTCATGTTTAAACTGAGACATGGGAAGCTGCGGATTCTTAGCTTGGGCTTTGTGGACATCTAAGGCCTTCAAGGATGGCTGGAAAGCCTCTGTGACCGGCGTGGAAGTGTGTTGAGAATTGGATGTGTGAGCGCACACCTGCTGGCCGGCAGAGGCCACAACTTACCATGGTCTCCAGGAGATCCCTAAGCCCGGTCTGTTCAGAATCATGGTAGAAAGGAACGCTTGATGGATATTCAGCTATTCAGTTTGTTAAAATACATTTAAGAAAGGACAAGAGGGCCCAGCGCGGTGGCTCATGCCTATAATCTCAGCATTTTGGGAGGCCAAGGCGGGCAGATCATGAGGTCAGGAGTTCAAGACCAGCCTGGCCAACATGGTGAAACTCCGTCTCTACTAAAAAATACAAAAATTAGCTGGGCATTGTGGTAGGTGTCTGTAGTCCCAGCTACTTGAGAGGTTTGAAGAGAGGTTTGAGGCAGGAGAATTGCTTGAAACCAGAAGGTGGAGGTTGTAGTGAGCTGAGATCTTGCCATTAAAAAAAAAAAAAAAGGATGAGGGACACTTTATTTAGCAGCTACGTTTGTAATAAATGACACTAACACAAAATACATTGCCAGTGATCTTTTCCCCCTTACCTCGACAGCACTTTTATTTGTACTGTGCTGGAAATAACTAAACTGCATATTTTATTTATTTTTATTTATTTATTTTTTGAGATGGAGTTTCGCTCTTGTTGCCCAGACTGGAGTGTAATGGCACCATGTCGGCTCACCACAACCTCCACCTCCCAGGTTCAAGCAGTTCTCCTGCTTCAGCCTCCTGAGTAGCTGGGACTACAGGCACATGCTGTCATACCCAGCTAGTTTTTGTATTTTTGGTAGACACAGGGTTTCGTCAATTCAGTTAGCCGAAACAGCCTCCTGTTTGTGAAAAAGAACCTTTCGGGAACCCAGTGTTCCAGCAGCTTCCTATCAAGTCACGTATCATTGAACTAAATAGGTTAGGTTACAATCTCAGTTAATTAGATTCTTTTTTTGTATATATCCTTCCCCTGAGGAAAGTTGAAATATAATTTTAAAAAATGAGTTGGTAGGCCGGGTGCAGTGGCTCACGCATTTTGGGAGGCCAAGGCGGGCAGATCATGAGGTCAGGAGTTCAAGACCAGCCTGGCCAACATGGTGAAACTCCGTCTCTACTAAAAAATACAAAAAATTAGCTGGGCATGGTGGCGCGTGCCTGTAGTCCCAGCTACTCAGGAAGCTGAGACAGGAGAATTGCCTGAACCCAGGAGGCGGAGGTTGTGGTGAGCGGAGATCACGCCATTGCACTCCAGCCTGGGTAACAACAGCGAAACTCCGTCTCAAAAAAAAAAAAGAGTTGGTAGAAAATAGTTTCTGTCTAAAGAAGACAGATAAGAAAAATAATTTTCATTTATAGGAAAAGAACAGGGCTTAGGACGCCTGAGGAGAAACAGTCATGAACATCAAATTTTACCTCTAATTGGAAGGGGTGATATTAAGAGATGGTAGGTGCTCCATGGTTTCTGTTTTAAGCCCACGTCTTCATTATTCCCTGTAACACAGCTTTAGTCCTTTAATGTTATTTCACCGAGTGACCAGAAGGCGTCGCTAGAAGACATTTTCTCTGGGGACGGTTCTCTTGCTCTCAGGCCCAAAACAAGGGAAAAACAGACATTCCTTGGCTGGGATGATGGTGCATCTTTTATCTAGCAAGTCAGACTGCGGCTCTGTGTTTCAATCAGCTGTAAAATCTCAGGGTCATCTTACAGAATGGACTTTATTATTTTTCCAGACATGCTGTCTTCAGAATACATGAAATTCAAAATGTTAAAATGAGGTGGCTGTGGTCACGTCTCGGCCAAAGGCATCTCACTTACTGAGATTATGGCTCTATCACAAGGAAGAGCTTGGTGTGAACTCTTTGTGGCTGGCATGTTTCCCTCCTAGATTGGCACTGTTGAAGAAGAGCGGGGAGGAAGATTGGAGAAACAGACTCAGCAGGAAGCAGGAGGGCGGGAAGGCGCCGGCCAGCAGCCTGCACATCCAGGAGGCAGGGCGGTCCCTCATCAAGAAGGTAACATTCCCTGTGTTTGCAAAGCATTTGGACTAATGTCACTCCTGGAAGTGCATCAGAGAGACACGCATGTGCCACCTGATTGCTGCTCTGTGAAGCATTTGTGTGTTTTGCTCTTGGGATACACACTGAGGGTCTGTCACAGGGCACCTGAAACTGGGCAGGAGGCCGAGCCTTGAGGTGCTTTAGAACTGGGGTCAGTGACACATACACACGGTGTCAGCAAGCAAGTGCCTGAAGGTTAAAGTGTGTACTTTTTCCTCAGTTTAAACCCCTTCTTAAATGAAGTCTGGCTTTAGAACGTTATTAAAGCCTTTATAATGAAAAAAATGGAATTCACCACTAATATCTTTAAGTTGCATGTAAAATATGCAGAGATGTTAACCCTAAGTATAAAATGTAAGGACATAATTGTGGTTCACGGATATTTAGTTCATCATTTTAAGCGTGTTTCATGAGTAGCTCTTCCTTTTATTGAGAATGTACAGTAATGTATGTTATAAATTGAAACAAAATTAAGTAATGCGTGGTGATCCATGCTAGCAGCATTTCCTATGCATGAGTATTGATGAGCCATTAAATTACAGACATGATGACAGCCGGCTTTTGACAGGCAGTGCGCACTTTCGTAACTGATGGTGGCTTACTTGTTGGCCGGCCCTACAGTTGCAAATGTCCCTCCTGGCTGGAGGTGAAATGGTGCAGCAGTGACATGCTCCCTGGCCACTTTCTAGGCCCAGAAGTCTCCAAGGAGAAAAGAAAAAGAGTGCCTTCAACAGCTGATCCCCAGACCCCTGTTAGCTCGAAAATAAGTTAAGCATCTGTGGAAGGACGAGATGATGAGTGTGACTTTCATGCATTAAGAAACTGACATACAAATGAGGTGTGCACGTAAAGTGTGAGTCAGGAGTTCTGGCGCTATTTCATCTGATACTTCCGTGTCTTCATAGGTTACATTGGAACAGCAATTTGAATTCTCTTCTTTGAGACATACATGGTGTTAAAGATGATATAACTAAAACCATTTAACCTCAGCCATTTTAAAGTTCTCAAATATAACTAGATATTTAGAAAGTATATGCATGCACGTAGTTTTCACCCACCATGTGAAACTCACATTTCAAAAAGGAGACCCTGAAGTGAAAGAAAACTGTGTCTGTGAAATAATGCGTCCCCACCCCACAAACTATTTAAAAGAGTCTTGAAATCATTGCTTCAAAAACGACTTTGACACGTTCCCCATAAGCAAACCTGCCGACTACCATGTCCTGGCACCAAGCAGCACCTGGCCCCTGGGCCATCATTTTGAAAGGTGCAGAGACCCCCCTGCCCATCAAGAGCTGGGAGTCCCAGAGAGCCAAGTGGAAATTTAAACGAAGCTGAAAAGCACAAAGCAGGAGAGGTTCCTGGTGAATAGTGAAATAGGTGCCCACCCACTTAGAATGGAGGGTCACCTTAGGTGTGGAAGCCAGAACTCCCATGCTTCCTCGGTGGCCTGGTTGCCTTGGCTGGAGACAGTGAGCTCTTTGAAGTTAAAATAAGAAGGTCTGTTTGAGGCCTCTGTAGCCCACACTGGGCAATCTCAGGTTCTGCTGAGGTCAGGTGTTTCTCAGGCAGCCTCTGGCAACCCCTGATTCATTCCTTCCCAAGGGCTGGCAGTGTTTTCAGTCACCCGCTGGCTGTGCTCAAATGTGGTTAGTGAGGCGCCTTCAACCTGGTCTGTTTTAAGGGAGTCCCCAGATAGCTGAGAGGCTGCCATGCCCACTGCTTGCGGGTGTCTGAGTGCTGCCTTGGAGAAGGACAGACAGTCATGACACGTGGGGCCTGAACATGGGCGCTTGCTGCAGGGAGTAGCTCTTGCCTTGCTGATGGAGAGGGACCCAGGAGAGCAGGTGCTGGAACCTTCCATCTTCAGCACCAAGGGCAGAAAGGAGCCAGCGTATGGTCAGCTTGTCACACCCTTCATGGTTGCTGCGTTTCTGTTGTGTGCTGAGAGCCTGCTGCCGTGAGTTTGCAGTGTGTGGAAACACGGAAGGGGCAGGAAAGAGAGGGGACTCCACGTTCCTGCCATTGCACCTATGAGAATACATGCAGTGTGGCAGTCAGCACTGTCCTATAAAAATACGGAATGTGTGCCATGTAGGTGATTTTGAAATTTTCTGAGTCACATTAAAAAATATATTAAAGAAATTTTCTGAGTCACATTAAAAAACATATTAAAGAATACCTTGAAAAATGTATAGCTGTTTTGTCTCTGTCGATGGATTGGTCCCAGAAGAAAACATATTTGAGGTACGTTACTCAGCATCTCATTTTGGGTCTTTTTTTTTTAGACTGAGTCTCTGTTACCAGGCTGGAGTGCAGTGGTGCAATCTCAGCTCACTGCAACCTCCACCTCCTGGGTTCAAGTGATTCTCCTGCCTCAGCCTCCCAAGTAGCTGGGACTACAGGAGTGCAACACCACACCCAGCTAATTTTTGTATTTTTAGTAGAGATGGGGTTTCACCATGTTGGCCAGGATGATCTTCATCTCTTGACCTTGTGATCCGCCCACCTCAGCCTCCCATAGTGCTGGGGTTACAGGCATGAGCCACTGCACACAGCCTTATTTTTGGGTCTCTTATTTTAAGATTTATACTGGGGCTGGGTGCGGTGAGTCACACCTGCAATCCCAGTACTGTGGGAAGCCAAGGTGAGAGGCTTGCTTGAGCCCAAGAGTTTGAGACTAGCCTGGGCAACATGGTGAAACCTGGGCTGTACCAAAAAGTACAAATAGTTGCCAGGTGTGGTGGCACACACCTGTAATCCCAGCTGCTCAGGACGCTGAAGTGGGAGGATTGCTGGAGTCTAGGAGGTCAAGGCTGCAGTAAGCCATGATCACAGCAGTACGCTCCAGCCTGGGTAACAAAGCAAGACCAAGAAAGAGAGAGAGGAGAGAAAAAGAGAAAGAAAGGAGGGAGGGAGGGAGAGAGGGAGAGAGGGGAGACACAAGCCAGAGGAACTCACTCCACCAGAGAGAAAAATGAAATGAAGCAAAGTCTTAAAGAAGTGGTTTCCCAGGAGTCTCTGTTACAACTAACTTTTGGTTATATATTTTCACCAAATAATATTTTCCATTTCAACCCTATCTCGGCTAATTCGACTTTAAGGCATACACGGTGACTCCCTGTCTGTTGCAAAGGTAGTCATCCAGCAATCAGACCTCTTCCAAGAAGTGAAAACCCTTCATAGACTGGTGCAAAGCCTGTGTCTGTTTCTGAGTTCCAGGTGGGAACTGGATATCCGACTGTGCTTCAGTAGCTGTGAGGTCAGTGTCTCCAGCTCAGATCTGTGACAGCCCCAGAGCAAGTGCCTGAAATTTCAAGAAAAGTGAATCTGGCACATTCGCATTCTCAGTATCTGCTGTCACTGAAATTCCAGATCACAATCCAGGAGAATTTAGAGAATGAAGTTCCTTCAGAGTGCGAGGTTGGGAGGGAGAGAAAGGCTGAGGGAACTCCAGATGATGATTCTGCGGTGAGGGATGAGGTGGCCTGCGGTTCAGTCACCGCCTGGTGTGCGCACGTGCATGCTGCCTTTGAACCCGGCACGGGAACTCCTTCCGGATGATTGCGACGCCCTGACGAGGCTCTTCCCTTCCAACACCCTGCAATGTTTCCTGTTTGTTTCAACCTGTAGGAAGAAGGAGGAGTTGCGGATGATGATGCCATTTCTAACCTGCTTTGGGTAAGCCTGACTCTAACACAGGTGTCCTGTAGATGGTGGCTGGAGTCCCACCTCACATGAGTGATTCTCACCCTGGGTGGCTCCTTCGGATGCCCTCCCTGGTGCTTTATCTCCAGACCAGATGCAGCATTTGTCTGCAGTGGAGAGCTGAGCGCGCGCCCTTAAATTAGTTTTTTGATCATGTAATGAAAATACTTTAAAGAAGATGATATTTTCTGTTAAATGTTAAAACTGTCAATGAAAGTCATGGTTCCCTCTCTGCAACTGACAATCTTCTATAAATTAACTCATTTAATTACTGCACAAAGCTGACTCAGATACAGTTACCTCGCTTGTGTCGATTTATTTTAGCATCAGATTTCATGGGAGGACTCTTGAAAAAACTGAAATTGCAACCAGTAAATTAACATTGTTAGAAAAATCATCGTTTTGTCTCTCCCTCCCCACGTCCCTGCCCGGCCCCGCTCTGATAAATCTTCTCCATTCACCTTCAATCCTCTTGCTCTGCTCTGTAGGAACCTTACATGCTTCTACTTACTCTCCTGCTATTCCTGCTGCCCATAAATACCTGTGTTTTGTGTCGATTAATCAGGTGAGGAAAAGCCACTCATCTTAAGCCTCGCTGCAATTTCTGAGCAGCAGGGGAAGAACTTCGGTTTAATTCGGGGAAATAACTTATTTGCTGTATTTCACTGTGAGAGAGAGGGGCGTGTGTGTGTGTTGGTACAATTGTGTGTGTGTCCATGAGAATGTGTATGTATCTATGAGTGTGTTTCTGAGTGTGTATCTGTGAGAGTGTCTGTATGAGTGTGTATCTATGAGAGTGCATGTGTGTGTCTGTATAGGTATGTGTGTGTCTATGAGTGCATTTCTGTGTATCTGTGAGTGTGTCTATGAGTGTGTATATCTGAGTGCATTTCTGTATCTGTGAGTGTCTATGAGTGTGTATATATCTATGAGTACGTTTCTGAGTGTGTATCTGTGTGTCTGTATGAGTGTGTATCTATGAGAGTGCACGTGTGTGTGTCTGTATAGGTATGTGTGTGTCTATGAGTGCATTTTTGTGTATCTGAGTGTGTCTGAGTGTGTATATGAGTGCATTTCTGTATCTGTGAGAGTGTCTATGAGTGTGTATATGTCTATGAGTACATTTCTGTGTATCTGTGAGTGTCTGTATGAGTGTGTATCTATGAGAGTACACATGTGTGTGTCTGTATGAATGTGTGTATCTATGAGTGCGTTTATGAGTGTATCTGAGAGTGTGTCTATTAGTGTGTGTATATCTATGAGTGCGTTTCTGAGTGTGTATCTGAGAGTGTGTCTGTGAGTGTGTGTATATGAGTGTGTTTCTGAGTGTGTATCTGTGAGAGTGTGTGTATGTGTGTGGGTATCTATAAGAGTGTGTGTGTGTGCATATGTGTGTGTTTAATTGGTTTGTAATATATTTAGGGTCAGTCGCACACATACTGATCCTTGCGCAGATTTTCAGGTGGGCTTGATTGTGTTAATTCACCTCATAATCATGACACTGCTTTAAGAGGAGAGTGACCCTTGCAGCCTCCATGCTTTCCATCCTGAGTCAGGATCCCAGGAGATGCGCCGGTGTCCTTGGCTCCAGCTCAGCGAGGCTATTGTCCTGCTCAGTTCATAGACAAGGAGGATGTGGTGGAGGAAACTTGGGGTGTGGAGGGACAGGAAGACTCAGCGAGGGGAGGCCCCTCCAGTGGCCCTACTAAAGCACCAGGAGGAGCTGGTTCCAATGGCCCTATTAAAACGAGAGACCAGCTGGGTGCAGTGGATCATACCTATAATCCCAGTACTTTGGGAGGCCAAGGCAGGTGGATAACGAGGTCAGGAGATCGAGACCATCCTGGCTAACATGGTGAAACCTCATCTCTACTAAAAATACAAAAAAATTTGCCAGGCGTGGTGGCACACACCTATAGTCTCAGGCAGGAGAATTGCTTGAACCCGGGAGGCAGAGGTTGCAGTGAGCTGAGATCACGTCATTGCACTCCAGCCTGGGTAAAGAGCAAAATGCTGTCTCAGAAACAAATGAACGACAACAAAATAACGAGAGACCATGCGCCCCCTGCCCCTCCCCTCCACCCTTGCTATACGCACTGTGAACGCCACCCTGGAGGGGAGACCAGCCTGGGCTGAGCTACTCTGTAGGTGAAGAACATGAAACACATGAACAGTTGTTTTATTATTTTTCCATGGAATGCCCCTGATGTCAAAACAGCTCAACTTTGCTATCAAAACCGGGTTCCTGTCTCCTCCCTTTGGTGCTTTGCTCCATCACTTCCCTCTAGGGCCTCTGTCCCCTCCCTCTGGAGTCTCTGTCCCCTCCCTCTAGGGCCTCTGTCCGCTCCCTCCAGGGCCTGTCTCCCTAGCAGGACTGGGGCTTTCTTAGCTCTCAGGTGGCCTCTGACAGTGTCACGATGGGTGTGCTCCGGCAGCACCAGCAGTTGTTAAATGAGAGGCTCAGGGTCCCCCGTCATCATCTCTTGCCTCTTCCCAAATGGAAACTCTCCCCTTCTTCTCCCTGGGCGGACTTTCCCACGCTCTCCTGGTTCATTTTCTCATTTCCCTGAAGCTGGAAATGCTGGTTGCAAGAGCCCAGGCCCCACGCACACAGCTGGTGTCCACCTCAAGAAAGAGGCTGAAATCTGGAGCAAACTTCCTATCCCAACACAAAGTGGGGAAATGAGCTTCTGTGTCTTTGAAATAAATCAATATTAAACTTTAAAGGAAGAGGTATATTATTGAAACCTTTAAGTGTATACAGTAGGCCCTTCATCTCTTCCAGTTTCGCATCCAAGGATTCAACCAACTAGGGATACTTGGGAATAAAAACAATAAAAAAGAACAATACACAATTGAAAAATTCAAAACCAATACAGTAGAAGAGCTATTCACATAGCCTTTACCTTGTGTTAGGCGTCATCAGTCATCATGAAATGATTTAAAGTATATGAGGGATGTGCACAGGCTGTATGCAAATCCTACACCCTTTCATATCCGGGACTTGAGCATCTGTGGATTTCGGTATCTGTGGGAGGTCCTGGAACCCATTCCCCTACAGACACACAGACACTGAGTGTTGTGTTGGCTATCCTGGGCCTTTTAACTCTCCATGTAAACTTTAAGATCAATTTGTCAATATCTGCAAAGTATTTTGCAGGGACTTTGGAACTGCATTCAATTCATAGATCAAGTTGGGAAAAACTGAATCTTGACAAAATTGAGTCTTCTTATCTATGAACATGGAATATCTCTTCATATATTGTTAACTTTAAGGGAAAGTAACATTTGCCAAAGACATTTATGTTTCATCACTTCAAAGAATTCTATATTTTTACTTCTGATCAGTTTTTCTCAGCTGAATACAAGTATTTTATACACCAGGTATATGGCACTAGCTCATCTGTGTCCTCAGAGGGCAAGTCACTCCTTTTCTTTCCTCCAGAAGTACTGATATCTTAATATTTAATAATACAGAGGTTCAGGAAAGAAAACAGCATTTAAACAGCACACAGGCTCTGTCGAATTGGACTGTCTGTGTTTGTGTTAGGCTTCAGCTTCTCTTCTTTCTCACATGCCTCAAGGCTGTACCAGAATAAGATTTCACCTTACTACCCTCCTTTCATCTTAGGAGCCGGTAGATGGTGACAGGACTGGAAAACAGTTATTTCGAGGTCTGAGCCTAGACCTGTGATCTTTTCTTCGTATTTTGTTCAGGCTACTTGAGGCTGCATGCAGTGACGACAGACTGAAATTTCTCTTAAGGAAGGGACAAAGCTAAATTTCTTTCACAGTGTATAGAATTCGAAATGATCCTAGTGTTTTTGAAAACTGAAAAGCACAACTTTATTACTTTATTTCTATTGCTTAATATGTGCTCTTATAATTTCTTTCTTTATAGTTTAAACTAGATGTGAATAAGATAAAAATGTAAAAGCCAGATCACAGTATTGTCTTTCCATGGAGTCCCTCAGCTGTGGAGGAGTTTTACCCTTAAATCTGCCCGAATCCTCATAACACAGCTTAGTTCTGTGCTTTCCTGTTGGATCACATCCCGGCATGAGACACGTTAAGTGAGATTTGCTGTGATTTCCCAGTCAGCGTGTAAAGAGAAAAGCAACATCATGCAACCTAAAAGCATTTGTGCTGGTTCATTCTTTGCATAGTTTCCAGCTGTGACCTACCAACTCTCTGACCATCCCTAAACTTCCTTTCTACCTATTTCACTACCTCCCCCCCCCACACACAGACACACAGACTCACACACATACACACACACAAACACCCACACACCTCTCACACACACCCCCACACACTCACCCACACACACACTAACATCCCCTCACGCACTCACACCCCACACACACTCACACATACACACACACATACACACTCACACCCACACCTCTCACACACACACACATACACTCACCCACCCACACACTAACACCCCACACACACACACCCCACACTCACACACACACACTCACACGTGCATACACATACACACATACTCATTTTCTCCTCCTCTCTCTCTGCCTTTCCCACCACATTCATGGATCTACCTTTGAAATGACGGACGGGGCAGGGGTTCTGTTCAGATTCCCTCTCACTATTCCGGTCAACACTAAACATGTATTGGCTAAACCTGGGAAATTTATTACTGTACACACGTCCTTCTCTAAACAAGAAAAGAAAAAATTAGAAGGAAAAAACAGGACAATAAGGAAGTCTTAAGCTAAAATAAGCAAAAAGACAAAGATATCCATCTTCTTTGTTTCCGCATTTTGAGTTCTAAAATGCAATATCAGCTTGTTATACATTTTAATTAAATTCTTTGGAGTCTAAATAAACTATATATTGTTTACCATATATTATAGAGCCATGTAAAGTCAGGTATCAGGAACTGGAGGGCCCTAAGCCAACCTTACTAAGTAGCAACATTAAGTAGAAATTTTTAGAGAAACAAAAAAGGTTAATGTTTAATATTATCACATAGCAGAGAGTAAAAATCATTTCTCCTTGACCTAGATCTGGCAAACAAAGGGAAGCTTTACATTCTAAAATGATTGTATCGTCCCAGAGTTCATATCCGTCGTGCACATGAAGGGCTCGGGGGGGAATCCCAGTGCTTTGAAAAACAAAATTATTGACTCAAGGCTACCATCTTTCTGAGTCATCAGTCACACCCACTACCCCACCCTGGACTTTCAAGATGCCTTAGTGAATCCACCACAGAATTGACTAAGTGAACAGTGAATCACCATGGTGATGTCTGGACCTTTGGAGAAGCCAACTTTCTTGGCACTTGAAATGTTTCTTGGAAATACTTGAAGCCAAGTGCCATCTTGGTTTGGTTAAAATTCGCTCCTGAAACTTCATTTTCAAAGAAAACATACTCTCTTTATTGAATTTTGATGAGGTATTACGGGCAAGTGAACCTCATAGTTTATTTAAAAAGGGTACATGATTCAGATGATTCAGAGAGTTACTTGGAATTAGGGGCTTCTTGCCAATCATGAGGGGGAAAGTTAAGGGTTTTTTTTTTTTTAATTAGTAACTTTTAATTTTGATAAAATGTTAAACTGATAGGAAAATTTCCGTGATAGGCAGAGCACTTTCATAACCTTTACTGGAACCACCAGCTCAACAGTTCCCTCCCTTCTCCCCTCTCCCCCTCACCCCACTTTCCTGCCTTCTTTTCCCCCATCTCACTTTCCCACCCCAGCCAGGTGCCGGTGGTTTGGAAACATTGTGCTCCTGCCTTTCAATATCCTAAAGTCCAAGATATTTTCTCCCATAACCACAATACTGTGGTCAAGATGAGGAAGTTAATGTTGATACAAAGTTTATCTCATCCACATCCACCTTAAAATTGTGTTCGTTTCCTCCAATAATGCCCTTTGGAGCTTGTAGCCCCCACTCCATCTAGGATTCAAGCCAGGATAGTGCATTATGTTTGGTTATCTCTCTTTGGATTTTTTTTTTTTTTTTAGATGGAGTCTCGCTCTGTAGCCCAGGCTGGAGTGCTGTGGCCTGATCTGGGCTCACTGCAACCTCTGCCTCCTGGGTCCCAGTTCAAGCAATTCTCCTACCTCAGCCTCTCAAGTAGCTGGGATTACAGGCACGAGCCACCATGCCCAGTTAATTTCTGTATCTTTTAGTAGAGATGGGATTTCACCATGTTGGCCAGTCTGGTCTTGAACTCCTGACCTTGTGATCTGCCATCCTTGGCCTCCCAAAGTGCTGGGATTACAGGCGTGAGCCACCAGGCCCAGCCAGGAAAAGATTTTAACCTAATTTAAATTGGCAGGGACCTCAAAATCCCTTCTGGCTATGAGGGCTTTATAGAAGAATCCTGTGAAAGAAAGATTCCTCACTTGGATGCTGGAGAAGTCCACGTTCAGAGCTTAAACCAAATGGTCCCAGTGCAGACCTGGTTTTGTGCTGCCGGAAAGGAAGGGAAGGCCCCTTTTCCTCTGTCAACCCCCATCTTTCCGGGGCGTTAAGAAAATGAACTGTGCCAGCCTCCACCCTCTTCCTGTCGCTCCTGAATCAGGAAGTTCCCTCCCGTGGGGCAGAGCAGGGAAGTGGTGGCCAGTGGGGTGGAAAGGCCTGGGGAGAGTCTCTAGGATGGCTTCGCTCGGGTCTGTCCGAGTCCTCCCTGTGTCAGCGCGAGGCCTTAGGATCACGCAGATCCACGGTGATGTCATAGCCGAGAAAGACGCCTTAGGAAGGCAGAGAAGCTGGGGACCTGCTGGAGAAGGTGCGGATGCTCAGATGTAGTTTGAAAGAGGATGCGCCAGGCCGGGCGCGGTGGCTTAGGCCTGTAATCCCAGCACTTGGGGAGGCCGAGGCGGGCAGATCACCAGGTCAAGAGACCGAGACCATCCTGGCCAACATAGTGAAACCCCGTCTCTACTAAAAATACAAAAATCAGCCGGGCGTGGTGGTGCGCGCCTGCAGTCCCAGTTACTCGGGGGACTGAGGCGGAAGAATCAGCCGGGAGGGGAAGGTTGCAGTGACCCGAGATCGCGCCATTGCACTCCAGCCTCCAGACAGAGCGAGACTCTGTAGAAAGAAGAAAGAAAGAGAGAGAGAGAAAAGAAAGTGGAAGCGAAAGAGAAAGAAAGAAAACAAGAGAAAAGAAAGTGGAAGCGCAAGCAGCAGGAGCCTTCCTCGGGGAAAGCCGCAGGGCAGGGCCCAGAGAGGAGCCCCGGGGCGACAGCCAGGGACGCGCCTTCTGCTCGGGAGGGGGCGCCTGTCCGCTCTTCCTTCCTGGCGTTAGCTCCGCAGCTCCTGTGCTTTGTGCCTCGCCGCAGACAGGGGTCTTGGGGTGCAGGGAGGGGTGGCTTGAAGGCGGAGGGAAAGCGGACTCTGCCGCCAGCGTGTGAGGACCTCCTGCCCCGCCCGTGACCACCACCCACACTCTCCTCCCCGGCACACGCTACTCAGTGCCTCTGTCCTCTGCCTTCGTCCCTGCCCCTCCCTCCCTCCTCCACCCTGTCTCCCCATCCCAGGCCTGTCCTCAGCCCAGTCTCCCAATCCCAGGCCTGTCCTCAGCCCTGTCTCCCAATCCCAGGCCTGTCCTCAGCCCTGTCTCCCCATCCCAGGCCTGTCCTCAGCCCAGTCTCCCCAGGCCTGTCCTCAGCCCCGTCTCCCCATCCTAGGCCTGTCCTCAGCCCCCTCCCAATCCCAGGCCTGTCCTCAGCCCTGTCTCCCCATCCCAGGCCTGTCCTCAGCCCAGTCTCCCCAGGCCTGTCCTCAGCCCCGTCTCCCATCCCAGGCCTGTCCTGAGCCCCTGATCCTTTGCTCATGTCTCTTAAGCATCTTTCTAGTGAGTGATGATTTCCCTCCCAGCCCTGTGATACCAGATTTTATTTATCTTTATCGTCTTTCAAGAAAGTTTGCTTTCTCATAGATCTAAACCCTTTGCAGCTCTGGTAATTGAAACAAATTTTAAAACTTTTATTGACATCATCAGTCAAATATATGTACATAATGGGAAGTATTGTAGAATATTACCTAAAACTTGAGTTTTAAACCATTCAATGGTATTTTTATTAAATTTTTTTAGCCGCAATACTTCTCCAGCTCACAGGAGGAAGGAGCAGAATCATTCATTCATTCAGTTTTCCTTGTGATAGTGATTTGCATATTCTCCGGATGTTGTTCGTCCAGGGATGCATTGTCATCTAAGTGGCAATGTCATCTAAGGATTTCACATTTATTACAAATGAGTACAGAGAACACTCACTTCTCATTTTGTTTTATGTAAATGCACGAATTAGTTTTCTTTCCAATGCCTCCTAGGTAGGTTAGGGAAGCCTCACTCATCCTTCTCTCACTAAGCTTTCTTCTTCCAGCTGGGTGTGTTCTCCATGCTGGAATTCCTCCCTTTCCCTTTCATGTGTCTCTTACCGCTTGCCCTTTTAGAATCCCCACCCTGCTTCTCAGTAAATATATGAATAAATGCATTTCTGGTTTCTACCCACACAGGAGGTGGACAGGACCCTCCAACACCCACAGTCAGTCTAGACCTGCCCCGTGGTTTCTTTTGAAACATTGTTCCTCTTTGGGTTACTGTCTGTGTCATGTCCCCAAGGTCACTGTCCCTCCCTCCTCTCAGCCTGGAGGAGAGCTCCTATGCTGGGGGCTGCTTGCTGGCGAGTGTGACGTAGCTCATTCTGCAGATGGCATCAGTGCACTCTCAGCTGCCCCTGACACCCCCAAAGGGCCTCAGAACTCACAGCTGCATCTGCTCGAGCTCCTGTGTCATGGACATGTTTTCCCACGGCTTGACTGTTCATTTTGGCATATGGGCTTGTCAGCCACTACAGTCATAATAAAATAATAAAATCCTGTCTGCATTTGCAGTTGGTGGTCCCACAGTCGTGGTACCTGTGAAATGTGTATGCCTGCAGGTGTGTAAATTCTTATATGTCGTGCCATCTACCCTGGGACTCCTGGAGATCCGTCAGGGTCCCAGGGATTTCCAGACGTTGCCCTGAGGTGCTCAGTACCTCATCTGTGTGTTCCGCAGGTTTGGCGTCACCCACTGCCATAACCCCAGTGGCCTCACCCATTTGCAGTAAAACCAGAGGCACCACACCCGTTTCCAAACCCCTGGAAGGTAAGTGGCCAAGGCCCCGGCCATGCCAAGCAGTTTCTGACCAGAAGAGGCCTTCGTGATGCTGTCTCACTGACGGTTTCTGCTTGCCTAGATATCGAAGCCAGACCAGATATGCAGTTAGAATCGGACCTGAAGTTGGACAGGCTGGAAACCTTTCTAAGGAGGCTGAATAACAAAGGTACCGACCAGAAGCCAGAAGGCTTCGCTCTCAGAATCTCTAAATCCTGGTTCTGATTGCTTTTCTTCCTCAGCTAAATTGCTTTCTTTCTATTATGGCTTCACTAATCCATACTGCCATCACGGTCTTTGTCGTTATCTTTCAAAAACTGAAGCTTTGGTCCAGCCTGATTAAGACTATCAAGCCCTGACTCACTTGATCATGTAGAAAACTGGGGACTTCCAATAATACATTTTTTTTATGGAATCTAAACCCTTGGATGTCATCCAATCAGAACTGTGAACTGAGTGATTTTGCTTCTAACTCTGAAAGCAGATTAATCCATGTTGGCAAAATCAACGTGATCTTGGGCCTGATGAACTTTAAATTACATGTTATCAATTTCCAATAAGGTAAAAGCTGATATTATTTCTTATATCACAAATGATTTCTAAAAATGGCAAATGAATGTTGAAGTAAATATTTCAATATAAAATTCAACAAAATACACAAAAATAAAAGAGTAACATGCAGAAATAGCCTTTTATCTCTTGATTAAAGTGTCCAGTCCTGGAAACTTACCAATTACTAGGCGCTGGGAGTCCCACTATTTACAGCGACCACAAAAAGGTTGAAAATAATACAGTCACCCCTGAACAGAAACATAAAATGTAATATAATCACTGAGTTAATGAAGCAAGGAATGCCAGTCGGCAAAGCATTTATTCCACACGTGGAACAGTGATCTAGGTCAGCAAGCGATGGCCATTGCCGAATCCAGCTGCCCACCTGCTTTTTTTTGTTTCTGTTGTTTGTTTTCTAGAGACAGTGTCTTGCTCTATTACCCAGGCTGGAGTACAGTGGTGCTATCATAGCTCACCGCAGCCTTGAACTCCCGGGCTCAAGCAATCCTCCCACCTCAGCCTCTTGAGTAGTTCCAACTATGGGTGCTCACCACCAAGCCTGGCTGATTTTTTTAAAATTTTTTTGTAGAGATGGGGTCCCACTGTGTTGCTCAGGCTGATCTTGTATTCCTGGGCTCAAGCAATTCCCCTGCCTTGCTCTCCTGAAGTGCTCAGATTATAACTATGAGCTACCATGCCCAGCCCTGTTTTTGTTAATAAAGTTTTACTGAAACACATATATGCCCATCTGTGAACTACTGTCAACAGCCTTTGCGTTTTAACAGCAGAACTGAGTAGTTGCAACACAGGCCCTGAGTCGCCCCTCCCCAGGCAAAGCCTAAAGCGTTCACTGCCTGGCCCGTTTTGGAAGAAGATTGCCGACCTTTGGTGTAGAACGAAGCTGAGGCTAGTTCATCCACCCTCAGTAGAAGCAAGCGCAGGTTCAGAAGCGTTGAGTGGGCCGCGTGTGCTGTAAGGCCAGCCTCCCTCCCTCCTGTCATGTTACTGTGGGAGATCTGTTCAGGTGGGAAGTCCTTACGTGGCAGATGAAGTAAGGACCTGGGAAGCAACCACAGGACCCTGTATATCACAGTCGTGTTTCCTCCACTCCTGGAACGTGGGAGGAAATAGTTTTTAAACTATTGTGAGGCATAACTGTAGTCCTGTTTCTATAAAACTCTTACATCATTTGCTTGTTTGTTGATAGTTGGCGGGATGCAAGAAATGGTGCTCACCGTCACCAGCAAATCTGTGAAGGAGGTGATGAAGTCGGATGATGATGAAACCTTTGCCAAATTATACCGCAGCGTGGATTATAATGTGCCGAGAAGCCCTGTGGAGCTGGACGAGGACTTCGATGTCATTTTTGATCCCTATGCACCCAAGTGAGTTATTTGGGTCTCCGTCATTCCTCCAATGAGAAGGGCTTCCGTCACCTGCCTGCACACAGCACATTCATGGGCTCTTCCCTGGCGTGACCTCCTTCTCCTTCTAACTCCATCACAGCAGCGTTAGTGTTCTAGGGCCAGGGCATGGAGCCTCGCAGCAGATAAACATGCAGGCGGCAGACCAGATGTGCACTCAGGCAGACCCGTGGGCCACAGATGCTTGTCCTGTGCCATAAAGAGGATGTCACTGGCCTTTTCACATCACCTGAATATTGCTTTGTAGGTTTTGGGTTTATATCACTTAGCAGAGAGTTCAACACCTGTCTTTTGTTTCACATATTGAGTTCTTACTCATAACTTTGCAAAATATTTGGATGAGATGGGCTCAAATTAGTACAGCTAACCAGAAAATCAGTAAGCACGTTACTTAGCTTCTAATCCTACAGGAAATCAATAGCTCTGAGGGTTTTCTCGGTGGTGACTTAGGGTTTCTCTTCCTGCAGGAAATGACTAAACCAACCAGGGAAAGTGATTATGGTGTCAGGATTCCTTCAATTTCAAGTGCCAGGAGAAAGATCCCAACTCAAACTGACTTCTGCTAAAAAGAAAAGTGCACTGGGGTTTACTGGCTCACTCGCTGAAAAGTGCGGGTGTGAGCTCGGGTTCTAGAGCCCCTCAGAACAGTCTGTCTTGGCTGCTTTCCCTTGGGCTGGCCTCCCTCTCTGTCAGGCAGTGGCCTGGCGGCAGATGGTCACCCCAGCTGTGGAGTCACAAGGCTGCCTCCTTGGCCAGCTCAGCACAGGTAGCTTCTCTTCCCAGTAGTCCCAGCAGAAGGTCCAGGTTTGATTTTCTTGGCTTCAACGTAAGCCCGAGTCCATCCCTAAACCAGTCACCATGGCCAGTGGGATAGAAGATGCCGACAGGCTGAAGGCGGGTCTCTAGGCCCCTCCAGAGCCACAGTGGAGACATAGACTGTTTCCCCAAAGGAAAATCCAGATGTTATTATGAGAAGCAGAGGACGGCATGCTAGACAGGCCATACCCATGGCAGTCCATCCATCTGGTCTTTCCTGAGAAATTGTCAGAATGACATATCATACCATTTCTACAAGCTGCTCCTGATACATTCTTTGTATATTTCAATTTGCATGTTTTAATTTCCTACCATAAAAAAATCAAACCTTTGTCATTTTCCACCTCTAAATAGTATTTTGGGTATTTGCACACCTATCTATTTAACCATTTCTCAATGTCACTGTTTAAACTGGTGTGTGTCATAATTTAAACATATATGTATATTTACACACACATGACACCATGGTACGTAAAGAGGCCTTTCGGGCACAGAGACCCCCACAGTCAGAGGTGGACAGTGGCAGCAGGGGCCTGTCAGGAGATCACTTAGCTTGGTCTGCTCACCTCCCTCAGTCTGGTTTCCACCCCAGAGAGTTGTGAGAACATGGGGTGGTCACAGATGGTGGCGGGCCTATTTTATTTCAATATATTCTTTCAAAGAGTGGTTATTTTTCAGAGGGGGCAGTGAGTTGAGTGGAAGCTAGTCATGGAGGGACAGCAAGGGGACCGAAAGCTATAGCATGGGGGAAGGCTTAGTCTGAGCAGAGAGGATCACATCAGGGAGCCGTGGTCTGCAAGTTCCTGAAGGGCTTGCCGGAGACAGACAAGTAGACGTGGGAGTGTGATTCCAAAGAGAGAATGAGGACATGTGCATGGGCGCAGGGAGGAGTGGCAGGAGCTCCCGGACCCCCAGAGCTGTCTAGCAGAGCCGAGACCTGCCCGGAAGTACTCCACACCCTTCCAGGCAGACCAAGGGGCATGAGTGAGTGGGGGCGACTGGGCGTGGCTGGGATTTGAACTCAGTGGGCTTGTGTCCCTCTTCCTTCTCCAAGGTTCTGTGAGTCCCCCTTAGGGGAGTTGCGGTGGGGGGAGGAGTTGCAAGACTTGTAACAAAATCAGGAAATGCACTGTGGAGTCAAAGACCTGCAGGTCTCCAGGCATGGGGGTGTCACAGAATGAGACCGCACACTGCTGTGGCTGAGGACAACCGGGCAGTCAGGCCCAAGCGCCGGGTTCAGGCCTCCAAAAACCCCCTGAAAATGCTGGCGGCCAGAGAAGATCTCTTTCAGGAATACACCGAGCAGAGACTAAACGTTGCCTTCATGGAGTCAAAGCGGATGAAAGTAGAAAAGAGTGAGTATCTGAAATCCCTGCCTGCTCCTGTGCTTGGGAATGGCTTCTTCCATTGCTTTAATCATGTCTTGGTTTTCTGCCTGTGAAGGCCAATAATGGTGCTCGGAAGCCCTCATGAGGTAAAAAGGAGTAAATATGAACGTACGTATGCACGCGTACCTAGAATTGAAGGATTTGTCATGGAAATTCTCCCAGAGGGTATCACCTGTTTAGTTTGTTAGTTCTAATTATACTGGGATTCAGTTTTTTGTCTTTGTTTTTTTTTTTTTTTTTTTAAAAAAAAGACTTTGGTCTCATAATGTTCCCGGGCTCATCTCAAACTCTCTGGCCTCAAACAGTCTTCCCACCTTGAATTTCCCAAAGTGCTGGGATTACAGGCATGAGCCACTGCATCTGATTACAAATTATCCCATTCTGTTGTGTTTTTTTTTTTTTCTGGAAGTGAGAAGAGATGGCTATTTCTGTGTATGTTAATTCAGCCATTTTCAGCTCTGTCGATCCTGAACAGTCATTCTTCATTTAATCTTATTCAAGAGCAAGCATTTGATCTTGTAGTAAAATGGCTTGAATCACTGGTGTTTCTAATCCTAGATTTTTATATTATTCATTAACACATAACCAGTGCTTTTCAAATTGTTCTTGGTAGGACCCTCAGCTTCTAAAGTTAGGATGTGAGCTGGAGGGAGCAGGGGGAGCTGGCTGGGGGCGATGGATGGAGGAGAGGAGGTGGATTCCAGACTCACCCTCACTGTGGCTGAGCCACGCTGCTCCGATCTGCCCAGTAATGTGGGGTTCCATCATTCTGAAACAGTGGTTTTCTTGGTTTGAGGTGACAACATGCACAATCTTGATTTTTGGAATAATCTTGTTATAATTTTCATTTTCCCATAACACTCATAACCCAATTTCCTGATGTTTTTCTTAGAAATATAGTATTTAGCTGAAGTGGTTGAGTCCTTTCATTATAACTGGTTTATTAAGAAAGTGTATTTCAGACTCGGCATGGTGGCTCACACCTGTAATCCCAGCACTTCGGGAGGCTGAGGCAGGAAGATCGCTTGAGCCAGGGAAGTCAAGGCTGTAGTGAGCTGTGATCGTACCACTGCACTCCAGGCCAAAAAAAAAAAAAAAAAAAAAAAAGTGTATTTCAAAATCAAGCTAAAAATCATATTTTAAAATCACACCATAATGAATTGACAAGTAATTTTACATACATTTCCTGTGCTTCCACTTTTGAGGGCTCATGGGTCGGATTAGTGATGACTAACAGACCCTTTGGTGTTTATTGTTTTGCACTGAAAACCCAGTGTCTTGTAATTACAATCTTAACTCTGAGAGCAGAAGAAAACTTTAGCCAGTAAAGAAAACTTCAGCAGCGTCAGCCTGCAGAGCCTGAACCTGACAGAACAGAACTCTAACAGCGCCGTGCCCTACAAGAGGCTGATGCTACTGCAGATTAAAGGTATTTCAGAGCAAGATATCGTCTAGTTGATCACTTTGCCTTTAGCAAAAGATTAGAACCTAATCATCCCTTACAGAGCGTCTGCTTTTTTTCTCTTTACATATAAAGGCTTTTGGTGACAGATGTCTAACAGTCATCCGGCATCTATACATTCCAGCATGTAAAAGTTGTTAGGATTTAGAACAGCTTTCAGTGGAACTGCAACAAGTGAATCCAGCTCCTGGCATTGTACTAATGCGGCTGGTCCACGTCGTCTCAGTTCTTGTCCCTCTGCACAGTGCGGTGTGACAGTTACCAACAAGCCGTTTATATTCTCGATGCTGTATTTAGTTCCCAGCACGGTGGTTAAGCATTGAATTGCACATGTGATCAAACTTGGGTATGTTTCCCTCTCGGGACTAACTTGAAAAGACAAAGGTGTTAGGTCAGTTGTGAATGATTTCTGACTGTAAATATTGTTGCTGTAACTGGACCTTCTGCGTTGTGTTTCCATATTCAGCCCGCCCAGTGTCTTCCAACTCCAGCTTCTCAGAAGTCACCCTGGCAGGTTTAGCCAGTAAAGAAAACTTCAGCAGCGTCAGCCTGCGGAGCGTGAACCTGACGGAACAGAACTCCAACAACAGCGCCGTGCCCTACAAGAGGCTGATGCTGCTGCAGGTTAAAGGTATTTCATAGCAGCTGGGCCCAGTGACCCAGGGCCCGTGGTTTCTGTCTGGTCACCCGAGGAGTCCTGACACATTCATCGCCTGTGCCGGGAAGGAAACCCAAGCTTTTTGAGAACCTACTGTGTGTTCCTTGCTATGCAACATCCTGTCTCTTGAGCTTCCCCAGATTCCATGAGGTAGGAAGTATTCTGCCCATCAGGGCTGCCGGAGGCAGGAACGTGTCTGGGGTCCCAGCAGGTGCGGGGTGGCAGAGCTGGATTCGAACCCACGTCCCCCTGACTCCAGAATCCCAGCTTTTGCTCCTGATGTCCCGCGCCCCACGAGGCGGCTACATATTCATGCTGTTACCAGAGGCGCCCTACGTCATCAGAGGGGCTCTCTGCTCCCTACCCCATTCTCCCTGTCAGTATAGAACCGGGAGGAGGAGGACACAGCTTGGAGAAGGAATCAAGAGAAGGTCTAGCAGATGCAGTCCCCCTGCATTCCACTCCAGTTCCCTCCTGTCCATGGCAGGGGAGATTTCAAAGACGAACTTAGCGGGCGCTGGCCATGAGGAGGGAGACTCGGCTGCCCCCTGGTGGCCACTGTGTAGATGAATCCTCGAGAGGAGAATGAAGGAATCTCTCCCTCCAGGAGGGTTTCCCATGTGTTTCTGCATGACCGCTGTCCTATTGCGTATTTAAAAAAAAGAACTAGTGGCAAGCTCAAGTAACCTATCTCTGTCCTGAGACCTAAACCAGAGACTACATGGTCAGTGTAATTGTGGAAAGCTCAAAATCAACGAATACTTTGGAGAAGGTGCTGAAAGCCACAGAAGGCCGTGCCTCCCTCCTTCCAGTGGAGAGGCCCCTAGGGTTCACAGTGGAAACTCCCCAGGGGAAGATCAGACCCTTCCTGAGGGCGTGGATTCCCTTGCTGAGGCCACAGATGTAACTGGGTGCAGGGGTGGCCAGGGGAGAGAAAGCCCCCAGGTGAAGCGTGAAGGAGGGAAAAGGAGCCCCTGTGTTCATTTCCCTGGAAGGGGGAGCCTCAGTTCACCCACACACGTGACACTGACAATGGTCCTGAGACACAGGTGACATTTGGGAAAGCAGGGACCAGGGAAGCAGTCACTAGTGCTGTCATGATGCCCTTTCTAAATCCCCCTGCTGCCACCCTAGGCCATGGGAACTAAGCAAAAGCGTCCACAGCAGGGAGGCTTCCGAGGTGGGGTATGTCCTGTCCCCATTCTGTCTGGGAAGACAGTGACCGTTTGCCTCGTGTTCAGGAAGAAGACACGTGCAGACCAGGCTGGTGGAGCCTCGGGCCTCGGCGCTCAACAGCGGGGACTGCTTCCTCTTGCTCTCTCCCCACTGCTGCTTCCTGTGGGTAGGAGAGTTTGCAAACGTCATAGAAAAGGCAAAGGTTGGTATCTGGAAACTAAAAACGCTGTAGCAAATGTCCCCTTTACACAGGGAGAGTGTTCTCCCTGGTGTCAGTCACAAAGCTTCTCAAACGCCAGGTGTTGCATTCAAGTGAAAGGGATAGGTGATATTTCTTTTCCTGAATGTCTCTCAAACATGATTTCATTACATGTTTAAGTGGGATGTTTTAGGACTATGACCTACACCCCCAGCATTTAGGTCCTGGGTTCCTTCTTACTCCTGCGTAAGAAAAGGAACTGGCCCCTCTTTGAAGACCTTTATCTCAGGTCGCTCTGAAGTTCCTCCATAGACCTATTGAATGAGAATGTCATGGGGTAAAGCCCAAAGAATGAGTATTTCTTAAAAGCGTCACATGTGACCTATTGAGATGGAGAACTATTGCTCTAAAGAATTGAAGCTTTCAGTTACATGTTCTTGAGGTCACTGAAAATACTCAGTAACCAGCATCCACCCACCCCCGTGGTCACAGGCCTTCCTTTCAGGCGCAGTTTCTCCTCTCTGGTTTTGACTGTGCTGCTCTGTCTAGCCAAGGGCTTTTCTACCCAGGTAATGCGTTCCTCTCTTTTTTTAGGCCTCAGAACTTGCAGCTTTAATTCAGACAAAGAGGGAACTTGGTTGTAGAGCTACTTACATCCAAACCATTGAAGAAGGAATTAATACACACACTCATGCAGCCAAAGACTTCTGGAAGCTTCTGGGTGGCCAAACCAGTTACCAGTGTAAGACTTTATTGTACTTCAGAGATTGACTAGGCGTGAATCTCTTTTCTTCTCCCTTAACTCCTTCTAAACCAGCTACTTTGCAATGGAAAATGTGATGCTCTCCTGTTCTTATCCCTAAGCTGCTGGAGACCCAAAAGAAGATGAACTCTATGAAGCAGCCATAATAGAAACTAACTGCATTTACCGCCTCATGGATGACGAACTTGTGCCTGATGATGACTACTGGGGGAAAATTCCAAAGTGCTCCCTTCTGCAGCCCAAAGAGGTACAGTCCGTGGGCTCTGCCCTTCAATGACAAAGTACATCAAAAGCACTCGGCACAGGCTGCCCAGGAAATTAGATAGCAAGTTTCTAATAAAGGTTAGCCAGTGTCAGTTCCCACTGTAGATCATTTACAGCTTTTTAAAGGATATTTGTGATTTCAAATCATTACTGAAATCTTAAATGCTAATAAGGAATCCAGAATATTGTTCAGAGACTGCATGGATCTTTAAAAGCTTTTATACCTTACACAAAATGTAAATATTACTTAGCCCTATCTCTTGCACTTTGCATAAACATTAACTAAAATATTTTTCAGTCCTTAAGTTTGAGGAATAATAGATGCATGTATGTATAATTTGTGGACTTGCCAACTAATGTGCTGCCTTTGTCCTGTCACACCAGTAAATATTGGTTAATCACATACACTTCCAGTCCCATTAAGTCTGCTAAGTGTCGAGAAGGTGGAAGACACAAGGCCCTTCAGTGTAACTGGACAGAAGAGTCTTAGGAGGAATGTCATCTGGAGCAAGGGTGGCTGTGTGATATGTATGGGCATTTACATGGGAAAAAAGTCACAGAAAAAGAAATCTTCAGGAATAATTTTACACAGAAAGTGAAATCGAGCTGAGTTTAGAGTTAAGCAAAATTTGAATTGCTGGAAATGAAGGGAGAAATCATTCTAAGAGAAAGAATAAAACAAACCATGAAAATAAGAACTAGTGCTATGTTCAGGTATTCACTCAGCAAACACTTAGTAATCAACCCCTCCTCTGTGTATTGCTGCGATCTGATCCCTGCCCTTAAGGATCTTGGAATTGTGTACAGGAGAGAAGACACCACTGGACCCGAGTGCCTGGTGTGTGAAGGAGCCTCTGTGTATATATTAAGTGAAAGAGTGAGCACGAGAGAGGGAGGAACAGGGGAGGGGGAGGAAGGAAAGAACATAGGAAGATGTGCTTACACAACTCTTGTGGATCACAAGAGGAGGGAACATTATCTCGGCCACTTAGGACACTGGGAGAAGGAATCACGCCCCCGGGGCAGAGGCTGGCTTGGTGGGGCAGTACCAGCTGAGATCTCATGGCCTTTTTGTGTCTGTACTGGTTGCTCCATTAGGATTTCTGTCTTCCTGCGTTTGACTCTCTGTTAACAGAGACCCTGATTCAACTGTTGCATATTCTTGAAGTTAACAAATTCTTTTGTGCCGTTTCTCCCAGGTACTGGTGTTTGATTTTGGTAGTGAAGTTTACGTGTGGCATGGGAAGGAGGTCATGTTAGCACAACGAAAAATAGCATTTCAGCTGGCAAAGCACTTATGGAATGGAACATTTGACTATGAGAACTGTGACATCAACCCACTGGATCCTGGAGAATGCAATCCGCTTATCCCCAGGTACTCCTGCCGCCGCCCAGGATGGCAGATTCCATTCGATCCCTCTGTTCTCACCGCAGTCCTCTACTCTTGCTCTTTATAGGGTTCAGTTTTCATAAATGATTATATGCAGTGGACCGTGAATATTCACAGAAGGCACTTCTTTCACTTTTATCCAACTACTGCAGAAATATGGATGCTGTAGTCTTCTGGAAGAGGTTATGTGATAGTTGATTTCTTGAAGTGAGCAGGAGATGCTGCAAGTTCCCACCTGTGGCACTCCAGGTGCTGCCGTGGCAGATGAACAGCAATTGTTTAAACAAATCACATGCGGATGTGAAACGCTTCCCCAGCTGGAATTCAGTCACCGATATGAAGGTGCAGAAGCAATGTGCTTCTTCTAATTCACACCTTCCCAGCATCGCCCTGAAATTCCAGGATTTATCTGGCAGCGGATGATGTTGATGCCTTTACACCTTTTGGGAAGGGAAGAGGGGAGGAGATGGCATTAAAATAATGACTGTGATTTTAATATTTCCCGCATGTACTGGACTCTTAAAGTCATTTTGGCAATTCAATAGAATACGCGAAACCTCTAAAATTATGATTATGAAACAAAGAATTCCTACAGGCAAAGGATTGTTTTTTTAACTATCAGACCAAAAAGAAAGTAGTGCTTTTTAACTATGTGTGGCATTATAATAGATTAGAAATTAAATGATTCCACTATGTTGGCCGGGATGGTCTTGAACTCCTAACCTCAGGTGATCTGTCCACCTCGGCCTCCCAGAGTTCTGGGATTATGGCCCTCAGCTCTACCTTTTTCTAAATTACCTGTGTCCTTGGATACAGAGCAAATTCTAAAATCCCAAGCCCGCACAAGAGCTCCAGGTGGGGCTGTGCTATTGTCTTTCCTGTCTCTCTCTGCTCCCCCAGCTGCTGCCCTGGCCAGTGGCCTAGAAATAAGTGTGCAAAACGCACTTTGTGATCTATGAGTGTGTCCATTTTAGTGACAGGAGAATCTGTGCTCTGGAGAGCTTAGCTGTAACATGACATAAAATAGTAGAGAATTGAGGCGGGGGGAGCTGCCTCTTCCCTACATCTGTTAATTAATTGAAGGGAAACTTGGTGAGTGTCTGCAGGTGATGGGTGGCATAGATTAGATGATGAGTAAGGTTTGCCCGCAGCTCCTGCCATTGCTGAAATCCCCACTCGGCATGCCACCCAGAGCATCCTAAGGACAAGAATTTGCTAGAATGTGGCCAGATACAGGAGCCCACGCCTGTAATCCCAGCACTTTGGGAGGCTGAGGTGGGAGGACTGCTTGAAGCCAGAAGTGCAAGACAGCCTGGGCAACGTAGTGAGACCTGGTCTCTATTAAAAAATTAGCCAGGTGTGGTGGCACATAACTGCAGTTCCAGCATTTCCAGAGGCTGAGGCAGGAGGGTCACTCCAGCCCAGGAGTTTGAGGCTGCAGTGAGCTATGATTGTGCGACGGCACTTCAGCCTGGGCGACCAAGCAAGACCTTATCTCAAAAAACAAACAAACAAAAAAGAGGCCGAGCGCGGTGGCTCACGCTTGTAATCCCAGCACTTTGGGAGGCCGAGGTGGGTGGATCACGAGGTCAAGAGATCGAGACCATCCTGGTCAACATGGTGAAACCCCGTCTCTACTAAAAATACAAAAATTAGCTGGGCATGGTGGCGTGTGCCCGTAATCCCAGCTACTCGGGAGGCTGAGGCAGGAGAATTGCTTGAACCCAGGAGGTGGAGGTTGCGGTGAGCCGAGATCGCGCCATTGCACTCAAGCCTGGGTAACAACAGCGAAACTCTGTCTCAAAAAAATAAGAACTTGCTAGAATGTAAGAAAAGTCTAGTCCTGACATGGTTCATGTCACATTGTCACATTCAGGCACATCAAAAACTCCATGGATGCAAAGGTTTGCAAAACTTCAGACTAAAATAACAAAATGTCATTATTTGGTAAAATGCAGGAAAATAAACCATTTGTTCTATATACCACTTATGTGTTTTGAGGTTTTTTCCAGTAGCTGCTGTGTTTTAGGTTCCTTTGTTTAACTTGGCTTAATCTCGGTTCTTTTCTTGTTTATTGTCCCAACCCCCCAACCCCCACCCTGCAGAAAAGGACAGGGGCGGCCCGAGTGGGCAATATTTGGGAGACTTAACACAACGAGACGATTTTGTTCAAAGAGAAGTTTCTGGATTGGACGGAACTGAAGCGACCGCATGAGAAGAACCCCGGGGAGCTTGCCCAGCACAAGGTATCCCGGCGACCAGGTCTCAGCCTCGGGGCTTGGTTCGGGTCCCAGCAAAAGTGGCCTTGAGGTAAAATGATCAAATCAGGTGGTTCGCATGACCGTCACCTCAGATTTATCAATTCTTTGTGGTGAGAACATTCAAATCCTCTCTTCTAGCTGTTCTGAAATATGCAATACAGTGTTGGGGACAGTGGCCTATTGTGCCGTAGAAAAGCAGCTCGTTCCTCGCTGATTGTCACTCTGCGCTGTTGGCCAACATCTCCCAACCCTCCCTCTGCTCCCTCCTTCCCTCACCCCCTCCCCATAAAACAGATGCCAGTATCAGCACATGAAATATGTCAACTAAAATACTTTAATTAAAAAAACAAACACACACACCCTTAAAGCTAGGAAGCCTTCCCCGGACTCACGAGTAGAACAGCAGACTGGCCTCCAGTTCTAGCCTGACTCCGGGAGGTGAAGAGTCTGGTTTGCACCTGTTCTTGGGCATCCATGTACTGTTGTGGCAATGGTTGTTCAGACCTCCCAGAGTCTTCCTGGAACTGCAGCCTTTCCCTCACTGCAGCTAAGCATCCTGGGACACAGTGTGGAAGCTGTATTTTTATGCTGTCCCATGAACGGCTGAAGCAGTGTTGAGTGTGACAAGGAATGGCTGTGGAAACAGGCAACCTTCATGTTCCCCTGTAGGAAGACCCCAGGGCCGATGTCAAGCCGTACGACGTGACGCGGATGGTGTCCATGCCCCAGACGACAGCAGGCACCATCCTCGACGGGGTGAACGTCGGCCGCGGCTATGGCCTGGTGGAAGGGCACGACAGGAGGTAGTTTGAGATCACCAGTGTCTCCGTGGATGTGTGGCACATCCTGGAATTCGACTATAGCAGGCTCCCCAAACAGAGCATCGGGCAGTTCCACGAGGGGTGCGCCTATGTGGTCAAGTGGAAGTTCATGGTGAGCACGGCAGGTTAGTGAGCGCTTGTGGTTTCTTCCAGTTGAAAGAGGCTGGCTGGCAACCTTGCGGGAGTCAGCTTCCCCAGCACGCCCTGTGGTGCCCTCTGCTGTGTGCGGGCGTGCAGTGGGGCACTCCGGTCATGTGTCTTTGAGAGCCACTTAGTAAACCACAGAGGAGAAAAGGAGTAAGGCCGAATCCCTAACCGCTTAGCCTTGCTAAGGCCGCTGGTGTTCACCTGTAGAAATTGACTTGCACGTCAAGGCTTCCTGGCTCCCTCTCTCCCTCCCTGTCCCTGTCCCCAGAGCTGTTCTGGGAAAGCGATGATTGGCCTCTAAATGATATTTCTCATGTGCGTGTGTGCTGCTTCAATTAAAGTCATTAAGTAGAGAATATCTTTGTGATTTAAAGCTGGAGCCAAATGGTGCTGTAACGTTACAGTAAATACACGCACACAAGGTTGATTTGAAAAGTAAGAGGCTGTTTCTCCCAAGGCTGAGCGCACGGGTGGCCTTTGTAGGTCTGGTTTAGTACAGTCTAAACTCTCCCGGATTCCTGTTTGTGACGTGCCCGATTGCAAAGCACTCACCTGGATGCTTGAAGCTGGGGGCGGGGGAGTCAGGTGAACTCTGGAGAAACCATCCAGGTCTTTGCCAAGGAGGAGCCTTCCTGCAGTGCTCCTCACCCCTCCCACTTAGGACAGCATGCAGGTCGCAGCTCTGTGACGTCAACTCAGCAGAGTCTTTTGGCCTCTTTACAGCCCCCTTGCTGTGCAGGTGCGCCCACCCCGGCGCCACAGGAGGCACAGGCTGATCAGACACCTGCAGGCAAGGAACCACGTGATTTATTTCCTGATTTACACAAGATGCGTCTGTGCATCAGCTGGCATTCCCTGAGCACCTACTCTATGGGAGACACTTTTTGTAGGGGCCAAGTAAATATTTCAGGTCCTATCTCCAAGACGCACATGGTATCAATGACATAGAGCAAGTGCAGGAACAGCCAGCAGGCGACCTTGCTGGGCACTGGGCGGTGGGGTTGTGTGCTGTGCAGAGCCCGGTTGTGGCCCAGAGGTTCCCCCCACCCCCTGGGGCAAGATGCTGGATCTTTACTTGCCTCTAGCTGAGGGCCTCCCGGGCTCCCTGAGACTGGTTCTGTTGTGATGCTAATTTCTCAGATGAGGACCAGGACAGTAAGATCAAGGAACCTGCCTGAAGCCACACAGCTAGCAGAGAGCTGAGGTCGACACTCACATCCAGGTGCCCTCTTTCCAAACCCAACCATGCTGTTAACCCACTCTGTGGGCAGGGAGTCAGAGGGGGCTCCAGCACAGGATGTGGGGAGCTGCGAGTCTGGCTACAAGGAGGGGCCGAAGAGCCCAGTCACCAGACAGGGAGCAGGTCAGGGTTGAACCAGCAGCAAGGCGACTTGAGGCTGGCTGCTGAGCACACCAAACTCCAGGGGCTCCTTAAACAGCAGGAATGGGATCTTCCAGGGCCCAGGCAGCTCCTGTCTCTCCTTCCAGGGAGTAGTGGGGTGGCAGACAAAGACCCCCAGTGGGAGGGACTCCCTTCCCTTCCCTCCCCTCCCCTCCCTTCCCCTCCCCTCCCTTCCCCTCCCCCTCTGCCCCTTCCCCCTCTCCCCTCTCCTCCTCTTCTCCTCCCCTCCCCTTCCTTAACAGGGTCTCACTCTGTCACCAGGTATTTTCTTCCTTTCTTTCTTTCCTTCTTTCTTCCTTTCTTCCCTCCCTCCCTCTCTCCCTCCCTCCCTCCCTCCCTCCTCCCCCACCTTTCTTTCCAGCAGACTTAAAACTTTAAAAAGTCCAGCTTTAGAGAATTAGGATAGAGTAGGGAGCATTCAGATTCCAGACTGTCCCTCCAGCAGCTGGGAAGCACAGCCTGATGGCACTTGTGGTGACTCCGATGGCACTTGCAGTGACTCCGTAGCCAATGCAGAAGCTCTGGCCCCTTGGTGACACTAGTCTGGTTCCTCCATCACTTGCACCCACAAGGGCCACACCTGCAAACAAGACTGAGTCAGAGCTCAGGGAGCACTTCTGGGAGGTCAGCAAAAAGCAGTGGTTGTGCAGATGGTACAGCCTCTGCTTGGCCAATGCCAGCCAGCCTGCTACGGTCAGTGTCCTGGCCCAGTGCCTGCAGGGCAGGGTTGCTCGCACCCCAGCAGGGTCAGGAGACAGATGCTCCTGGTGCCAGGAATGCTGAGCCAGGCTTCCCCAGGGCGTGACAGAGGCTTAATTCCTATAAATTAGAGGTGGCTCTGGTGCGAGAATAATTAACATGAGCAGTCTTTACACCTCTGTTTTCTGTTCTTCCTAACGAGCACTCCCGGCACCAAACTCACTCTTGAAATTGCTTTGATGGGTAACATGTCCACACTTCATTTATTTATTTATTTTGACAGAGCATCTCGCTCTGTCGCCCAGGCTGGAGTGCAGTGGTGTGATCTCGGCTCACTGCAACCTTCATCTCCTGGGTTCAAGCAGTTCTTTCTACCTCAGCCTCCCGAGTAGCTGTGATTACAGGCACCTGCCTCCATGCCCAGCTGATTTTTGTATTACAGTTTAGGCAACTGATCAAAGCAGTGAAAAAGAATAGCCCATAAGTCCTTGCCACTAAAAATTTAATCTTTACATTGTTAAAATTAAAAATGGATACAGAGATGAAAAATTAATTTGTATATAGGACTACATTTAGATACGTGCAGGAAAACTGTAAGGAAAAATAGTGAAATGCCTGTTTTGTAAAATATCTTTAAAGAAATAAAATTCTAGGCATACACCTGTAATCCCTGAGTTTTGGGAAGCTGAGGTGGGAGGATCACTTAAGGCCAGGTGTCTAAGACTACTCTGGGCAACATAATAAAACCTCTTCTGTACAAAAAATTAAAAAATCAGCCCGACATAGTGGCATCCGCCTGTAGTCCCAGCACTTTGGAAGGCTGAGGCAGGAGAATCACTTGAGCCCAGGAGTTCAAGGCTGCAGTGAGCTATGGTCATACCACTGCACTCCACTGCTCTACCTGAGCAGCAGAGCAAGACCTTGTCTCTAAAATAAAAATAGTTTCAGGCCGCGCGCGGTGACTCACGCCTGTAATCCCAGCACTTGGGAAGCCAAGGAGGGAAGGATCATGAGGTCAAGAGATCCAGACCATCCTGACTGACATGGTGAAACCCTGTATCTACTAAAAAAACAACAACAACAAAAATTAGCCTGGCGTGCTGGTGCGCGCTTGTAGTTCCAGCTACTCGGGACGTTGAGGTGGAAGAATCACGTGAACCGGGAGGCGGAGGTTGCAGTGAGCTGAGATTGTGCCACTGCGCTCCAGCCTGGTGACAGAGCTAGACACCATCTCAAAAAAAAAAAAAAAAAAAAAAAATGCTTTTGGCTGGGCGTGGTGGCTCAGCCTATAAACCCAGCACTTTGGGAGACCGAGGCAGATGGATCACGAGGTCAAGAGATCGAGACCATCCTGGTCAACATGGTGAAACCCCGTCTCTACCAAAAATACAAAAATTAGCTGGGCATGGTGGCGCGTGCCTGTAATCCCAGCTACTCAGGAGGCTGAGGCAGGAGAATTGCCTGAACCCAGGGGGCGGAGGTTGCGGTGAGCCGAGGTCGCGCCATTGCAACAAGAGCAAAACTCCGTCTTTTAAAAAGAAAAGAAAAATTTTAAAAATAAATACAATTGTGGGTATATATGCTCGGGTCTATTTAGAGTGTTAGGACATGATGTTTTATTCAACTGTGAATGTATATTTACACAATGTACTTGAGTGCTAAAAGCTGTTTGGGTCTTCATAAACTGTTATGATCTATTTGAAACATGCCTTTCCCCAGTCATCTAGTTGGTGCAACATATTTTCACTACTTTGAGGAATAGGATTGCTAATCAAAGGCAACATTTTTTGCTAAGTTAGCAGAAATTCCAGTTGCATGGCTTCCAAATGAACTATAGGTATTTATAATGTAGTCATTGATGGTTCCTACTTCATTTTGCCCTCTCAAAAAACACACAAACGTAACCAGTTCAGATCCACAGTGGATGGTAGGGAAGGCTGTTTTTAGTGAAACTAATTTAAGAAATTATTAGAATCATTTATAAAACCCATGTTACAGATACTTTACCAAACAAACAGCCAAAAAAAGTCAAGTAAATATGACCCCTGAACTTTTAGGAACTAAAATGAGTTTTCTTTTTCCCTTCAAACGTTAATACAGTTGTAATGTTGGATATGGGATTGGAGCTGGGAAAAGTTGCGATGATATAGAACCAGAGACTCCAGTTTTGTTTGTTTGTTTTGTTACAGAGTCTTGCTCTGTCATCCAGGCTGGAGTGCAGTGGTGCTATCTCCACTCACTGCAGTCTCTGCCTCCCAGGTTCCAGCGGTTCTCCTGCCTCAGCCTCCAGAGTAGCTGGGACTACAAGCATGTGCCACCATGCCTGGCTAATTTTTGTATTTTTAGTAAAGATGGGGTTTCACCAGGTTGGCCAGGCTGGTCTTAAACTTTTGGCCTCAAGTGATCAGCCTGCCTCGGCCTTCTAAAGTACTGGGTTTACTGGCCACCAAGCCTGGCCAGTTCTTTTACTGTTAGAATTTAACAGGTCTTCTGTACTTCGAAGCTCAGATAAATTCTACCTATGTTTACACAATGCTTTGAATTATCTCATATTTTACACTCATTCTTCATCTAGAATTTAATGCATATGGTATCTTCAGCTTTGTTCTCTTTTCTTTCAAAGATCCTGGAAGTTTTAACTTCGCACCTCACCTGTTCATCCTCAGCAGCTCCTCTGGGGATTTCGTAGCCACCAAGTTCGTGTATCCCGCCCGAGCCCCCTCTGTGGTCAGTTCCATGCCCTTCCTGCAGGAAGATCTGTACAGCGCGCCCCAACCAGGTAAGCCTTGCAGGAGGCAGCTACGCTGAGCAGCAGAAGGCACACCTTCCAGGAAGCCTTTTGATTTTATTCATTAAGCAGCTTCTCTTTGCCACGTACACTCCCAGAACACCCAGAACAATATGTGCTTATGCTATTTCATCCGCATCTCTACACCAGAAGGAAGGAGGGTGAAATCAGCCACACATTATAGCATAAGGAACGAGGCTCAGTTACTTAACCCACCCAAAGACGTCTGCTAAGAACAGGTTGAGCACCACAGTGGTAGAGCTGGAGTTGTGTATTTTGTAAATGTTCAAGGAAAGTGTTTGGAAACTTCTTTCCGCTGTTCAGCAGGTTATCAGAATTAATAAAAGTATTGTTATGTGCACTTAAGCCGCAGCTGCTATAGATAGCACTGCCTTCTTGTTCCAGCTAGACAATGCCTTTTTTGAAGCAGTTCTCTTTATAAAGTGTTATTTTGATAGTTTGTGGATTCTAAAATATATATATATATTTATATAAACACAATATAAGTCAAATATGTATTTAGCAAAGCAATATGTATTCATTCACTTTCGAGATTTGTTTTGGTGTCAAAATAATATGAAAAGGTAGTTGGAGTTGCTTCTGTGGAATGAGCTCTGCCACCAATACGTATCTTCACACACGTTTGGAAACGTTTCCTGCAGCGTTAGGTGTGACTTGTTCTGAGTACTGCTTCCGGTGCTAAAATGAACAAAGAATTTCTACTTAATGGCCTGGACTCTGGAGAATCTATGCGAATCAACCTTTCTACCTTAATATCGCCCCAAAAATGTATAGTGCCTTGTTTTATGTACAGTTTATATACAGAACAGTTTGCTCTGCAGCTTCCATGATGGTTTGGAACATTATCTACAATTTTACCCTCAAATAACCAGAATAAAAACATGTCAATTTCTAATACTTGTTGTAAACATTACATATCATTTTGTGATATGGAACTTTCTTCCTGTGCTTTTGGAAATAAAAGCATCAGAATAAACACAACAATTAGTTGATTGCTTCACATAGAATTCCAAGCATGTTCCCTTCTGGAATTTTTTTGGGGGGGAGGTAAATTATAACTTAGCACCAATATTTTGTCATTAAATATTAATGGCTATACATTTGAACTTAGGGCAAGATTTTATACGAGGTCATAAGATTAAATAAAGAGCTATTTGCCATAAAACTAGTACTCAGTACTATATTGAAGACATATTTTTGCAAATCATACTCAACAGAAGTTTTTTTTTTTTTTCAGATGGAGTCTTGTTCTTGTTGCCCACACTGGAGTGCAATGGCACCACCTTGGCTCACTGTAACCTCTGTCTCCCAGGTTCAAGCAATTCTCCTGCTTCAGTCTCCTGAGTAGCTGGGACTACAGGCGCCCTCCACCATACCTGGCTAATTTTTTGTATTTTTAGTAGAGACAGGGTTTCACCATGTTGGCAAGGCTGTTCTCAAACTCCTGACCTCAGGTGATCTGCCTACCTCAGCCTCCCAAAGTGCTGGGATTACAGGTGTGAGCCACCATGCCTGGTCTCAACAGAGGTTCTTTACCCCAAAACTCTATCTACATTTCAATTTCAGGATCCCAGTGCCTTTAAAAAAAAAAAAAGAAGTATATGGATAAGACATCTAGAAAACTTAAAAATGAATTAGAAAACTCCTCGCAAGGGCATACGTTCTTAAAAGACAAATCCATGGGTTTGAAGGTGTTCTGCAGCCCTACTGTGAGTTCTTAGAGCCCCTCCCTATTCCCTGTTAGCCTTAGTTGAACACACTGGGTCACAGCACATTTGCCCGAAACTGCAGAACTTAGTGCCCCACCCTGCCACTGCACCAGAGCAGGACCTGTAACCTACTTCTGAGAGAATTTGGCGTCATTTTCACAGGTCTTTTTTTTTTTTTTTTTGAGTTCATGATATTTATTACTGGGATTGTTTACAGAAAAGCCTTTTATCCACTGTTAACTTAGGCATAATAATTGTGTCATGTGACTTCCTTTTAGAACTATTTTTTTAAAAAATCATAAAAGGTCTGTATCTGAGAAGATACTAAATCAGTGTTTTAAAAAGTGAGGGGATTCACAGGCCTTTCTTGATCTGAGATCCAGAATAAAGCACAGAAGTTTTGAAACAGGCCTCTGTGCAAATCCTTTCTGAACTTGCGTAGCCACTAATAACGGGGAACAATTACCGAGAAGGCAATGAAGAGTTCCGGTGCAGGTCCGGGCGCAGCGGCGCATGCCTGGAACAGCAGCGCTTTGAGAGGCTGAGGAGGGAGAATCGCTTGGACCCAGGAGGTGGAGGCTGCAGTAAGCTGTGATCCTGACATTGCACTCCACCCAGAGCAACAGAGCAGGACCTGTCTCTTAAAGTACAGTGCTCTATTTTCAAAGTATCACGGTAATTCAGATGCAGAAACATCAAGATAATTCAAATGCAAATAACCGAGAATTAACTATATTGGAACGGCATTTGGCCCAAAGAAGCCTTCCTCCTTTTGAAAAGTAAATACATTGCATCGCACGCATTTGTTCTTTTCACCAGAGAAAGGCTGTTGGGCTGCTTCAGATGACTGACGATGGATGCCCCCCCCCCCCCCCCCCCCCCGCCCCAGGATGAGATCAGAAAGATGGACCTACCAGGGGAAAGCGTCGGAGGCTTCCGTTCCTCCCATCAGTCCCATGGATGCGCTGGGAGTGCTGCACCTGTGTGGAAATGCCCCACTGGTCTCACAGTGTCTAAAGCTGACCCTTAGGGATTAATAGAGAAGAAAGATGAACAGACCAGCATCCCTCAGTTCTAATACGGAACTGGTCTCTACTGAGCTTTTCTGTCATGCAGCTGAGATTGAAAAGGAGGCCACAGGAGCAGAGCGAATGCAAGCCAATAGAAAGACAGTGCAGAGGACTCTCAGCCCCAGAACCCTCACAGTCTCAGCAGAGCTGCGGGGATTGTTCTTCATATCTGATGCCATGGGGTTCTGGAAGTCTCTTAAGGGATATATTGAAACTGATTTTGTATTATTTGGACATTGACAATTAAATCTCACTGAATTAAGTCCAACTTTACCATCCGAACACCGTGCTTGAACATGATTTGTTAGCTCCATAAGGGTGAAGAAATATTAGCTGGGTGCAGTGGCTCATGCCTGTAATTACAGTGGTCTGGGAGGCCATAGTGGGAGGAGGGATTGAGCCCAGGAGTTTGACACCAGCCTGGGCAACATAGTGAGGCCCTGTTTTTAACAAAAATTTAAAAAATTATCCAGGTGTGGTGCCACATGCCTGTAGTCCCAGCTACCAGGGAGGCTGAGGTGGGAGGATTGTTTGAGCCCAAGAGGTTGAGGCTACAGTGACTGAGCTGTGATCGCACCACAGCACTCCAGCCTGGACAACAAAGTGAGACCCTATCTCAAAAACAAAGAAAGAAAGAAAGAAAAGAAAAGAAATACTGAGCAATGACTGACCAGGAGCCCATATGGAAGCAAAGAAAAATAAAACAATAATTTTTCAGCAGTGGTTTCTGCATATGAAGAAAGCAAACAGCTGAAGAATGCATTTAGGACCGCAGGACTTGGTGAGTGTCAGGGCTCCTCCTAAAAGACAATGACACAGCAGGACCCCACCTCTCCTTTTTTCCTCCACGCTCACCCTCCGTGCTTCCTTCCTGAAGGAGGCCATTCCGTTATTAAAATCAGGAACTGCTGGCCGGGCGCGGTGGCTCACACCTGTAATCCCAGCACTTTGGGAGGCTGAGGCAGGTGGATCAGTAGGTCAAGAGATCGAGACCATCCTGGTCAACATGGTGAAACCCCGTCTCTACTAAAAATACAAAAAATTAGCTGGGCATGGTGGCACGTGCCTGTAATCCCAGCTACTCAGGAGGCTGAGGCAGGAGAATTGCCTGAACCCAGGAGGTGGAGGCTGTGGTGAGCCAAGATCGCACCATTGCACTCCAGCCTGGGTAACAAGAGCAAAACTCCGTCTCAAATAAAATAAAATTTTGTTTGAGACGGAGCATGGTTTGTCAGTGAGGATATCTGAGGTCCCAGTGGGAAAGATTTTTTTCTTTTGGTTGGATGGGATCTTTCCACAGATTCACATACAGTTACCATGAGGCCACAGCATCTGCTGAAGTCTATTTCTAGTATCATGTTGCACATTCCAGACCCCTCATTATTTGCAGTGGTCCACATTCATTCATGAATACTTGCATTTAGTACTTGTTCATTCAGGTAGTGATTGAGTGTGTGCTTCATTTAAGGGTCAACAGAATACAAATATGACTGTATCTAGGCTCTGATCCCCCAGGGGCCTGCATTCCTGGGGAGGGGAGAATAATGATAATTCACCATATGTATAAATAATGATGCAGGGCCAGGCGTGGCGGCTCACGCTGTAACACCAGCACTTTGGGAGGCCAACACAGGAGGATGGTTTGAGCTCAGGAGTTTGAGACTGGCCTGGGCAACATAGTGAGACCCCCTCTCTATAAAAACATGTAAAAATGAGCCGGTCATGGTGGGCACACCTGTAGTCCAAACTACTTGGGAGACTGAGTGGGAAGATCGCTTGAGCCCAGGGGTTCAAGACTGCAGTGAGCTATGATTGCATCACTGCACTCCAGCCTGGGTGACACGGTGAGACCTGTCTCTAAAAATAATAATAACAATGCAACAAGAATCTGTTCTGAGTGGAATTGTGCCCCACTTTCTCCCCCATACCCACTCCCCCAGAAAAGATTGGAGTCCTAACCCCTAGTACCGTAAAATGTGACCTTATTTAGAGAATCTCAGGTCATTCAGCTAAATGAGGTTTTCAGAGTGGACCTAATCTGATATGCCTGTGTCCTTACACCAAGGGAAAATTTGGAAGTGGAGGCAGGCATGCACAGAGGGAAGGCCACGTGCAGATGCCTGGGGAGAAGACGGCCTCTGCAAGCCCAGAAGAGCGGCCTCAGAAGAAACCAACCTGGTCTACACCTTGATCTCAGACTTCCACCTTCTAGAGCTGCCAGGCAATAAAGGTTCTATTGTTTAAGCAGCCCAGTTTGTGGTACTTTGTTACAACAGCCCAAAGAAACTAATTGTGTCCAGAGGGGGGACTTCTGGCTGAAGGTGGGAGGGAGGGGAAGGAATCAGGGTGGCTTCCCGGAGAAGGTGTCTTCTGAATCAAATTTGAAGGGCTGGCAGGATTTCTCACTGCAACAAGACAGGGGTCCTTCAGCCATCAGCTCTGAAGAGAAGATCTGGAAGGAGGAGAGGGAGAGGAGAGGCACGTCCAGTCTCCCACATGTGGCACAGTCAGGATGAGGGTGGAGCAAGTAGGGCCTTGAGGCTGAGGTGAGGGTGCACAGAAGGAAAGTGGACTTGGACATAGACGGGCCAGGGGACCCCGGCAAAGGGGCTCTTCAGATGTGGGGATGACCCAGCAACAGCACCTGTGACTTGATACCTCTGGTCCACAGGGTCCCAGGCCAAGGGCGTCCCTCCTCACTGGGACTCAGGGTGTTTCCAGGGCTGCCAGGCTTCATAGTAGCCTGTGCCCTGCGCCAGCACTTCTATCTCAGACCTTGATGTGGAAACCACTAGAGGTGCTGACTCTATTACACCCTCCTCTTGTCTGATCTCCATATAAAGATATTTCTGAAATCTCCAGCAAACAACACGGTGCGTGGAAAATGGTGGACTTGGGTTTCCTACAGAGAGGGCCGTTTTTTGGTAGACATCAGTGACCATAGGCAGCTCCACCAAATGCTGCTTTGATCATAGACGCTGCTTAGGAAAACGAAATTGTTCTGTTGCATTGAAAATATGGAAAGTTTCAGAATCTTATATTGCTATTTTAAATTATTATTATTTTTTAATTGTCGACTCTTAAAAAATCTTTGGCCCTGGGAGACAGATTAGGCGTGGCACAAACGAAAGACCACGTTATACAAAGTTACGAGACTCGGCTGAGACAACAGAGCTGGGGATGGCGAGGCTCTTTAAGGAGGGCACCCGGATGTGGCTATCCACATTCCCCTGTACCTGATGACTGTTGAATAATGGAGGTAAACTGAGGCCCGAGAGTACCTCCTTCTTTACGGGGGCGCTTTAGGGAAAGGCAGGAGAGGAATTGCAGGTTGCGCCCAAACCGGCTGCTTTCTCTGCGTGATTTCATCACATCCTCCCAGGCAGCCTCGAGAGGCACCTGCTGTGCCCTTTACCGAGGAGGGTCTCGGACCTTCAGCTCTTCCTCATCCTCCCAGCGCTGGTCAGAGACCCATTCCAGCGGAAGCCGAGGAGCAACACCTGCCTGGGAAGAACTTTCCTCTTTAACACGAATTTTATCCACAGCTGATAGGGTTGGGGGAGATGTTTGCTGTTAATATCCAAACGTCTCTCTAACAGATTTCTATCATGTTTGACATAACCTGTCAGCTGCCTCCCTCCAGCTGGAGAAGCCAGGAAAGGACATGCGGGGACTGGCCAGGGAAGGAAATAGGAAGCGACGAAGGAGAAACCTTTGCACCTGGTGCGGGGCAGCCGCGCGAGGGAAGGCTGTGGTCAGCAGGGGGCGCTGTTGCTGACCACAGAAGCCACGGCTCCAACTCCAGAGCCGCTTCTAGCCTCGCAGTCAGGATCTGCAGGGGAAGCCTCCGCTCATAGGCACGGACTGGGAACGGTACTGGGCCGAAACCATCCTCCAAAGACCCCAGGCGCCAACTCCAGCTCCATCCGCTCAAGGAGCCTGAACTCTACAACGGACTGACCTGGGAACGTTCCCATTGCCCTGATGCAAGCAGTGATCAATTGTCCAGTGACATGTACTTACCCAACGGGGATTCTGGGGACCACAGTTCCTCTTAGGCTGGGCTCCGCTCCGCCTGCCCGCTGCCGGCATGCACACGCATTTTAACTTTTTAAAATTTTGCTGGCTTCTTTAAACCTCTTCCCTTTGCCAGTTTTGCCATCTATAGAATGAAGGTGTTACCTTTCTTTGGCTCAATTAATGTCAGGAAAGCTCTCTGCAGATGAAAAGCGCTAAATTCTATTTATCAAATATTTAATTAGCCACATTTGATGATGATTCATAATCATCTATTCAACTTTCTGAATTACCAAGCAGAGAAAATGGCATGATTAGAAATATAATTTTAAATACTGTTTTTCAGAGATCTTGTACCTGTCAAGGCTGTGGGAGAATTTCTGAATTAGCATACCGGTTCCTGCCCTATTTTCCAAGCCCCTGAAGAAACCATGTTCCTTCCCATTCAGCCCGTGGCTGGGGCCACAACTTCCCTCCTCCACCCACATCTGGCCTGGGAGGTAACTCAGCTGCAGGGCCCCAAAGGCAGCTTCCAGGGGGTCGGACCACAGTGCTCAGACCTCGCCCCCAGCCCGAGCTGAATGGGAAGGAACAGCATCTCTTCTGCCTAGGGCAGTTCCTTCATGTTCTGTCATGGGCCTGCCCGTTTTCTGCCCTGGTAGGGACTCAGTGAGAAGAAGCTAGGTCATGTAGGAGACATGAACAGTTTCAAGAGCAAGACACCCAAGCACCTCAGAGTGTAAGGGGATTTCCAGGCATTTCCAGTTGCTTCGAAGCACAGTCAGCAACATGGCCGGGTTTGTCTTCAGCTCCCGGCTCCAATCCAACCAAGACTGTGGGTTCTGTTGTGCACATGGCCTCTGAAAGCAACACAGGTTTTTTCTTATTCATTCATTCTGCAAATATTGGTTTAAATGCTATGCTAGATATGCAGGCTAAATTGGTAGAGCCAACTATCTTTGACTTTCTGGCAAAGCGTAATTTTCAAAAATGAAAAAAAAAAAACCTCATCATATGGATAGATGGGAAGTGCATGTCACTTGGGGTCCTCAAGAAGCAGGCACCAAGACAGAGTTAGATGTGCAAGACGTTTACTGGGAGGAACATTTGTTGGGGATGAGAACAGATGGAGCAGGAGAAAGCAGGGAGGGCCTTGGGAGGGTGCTGCAGGGCTGGCCCCTAGGAAAGGAGAGGGGGAAGGAGGGAGAATGGGGAGGAAAGGGCCTCTGAGTGAGGGGCAGCTCTGAGAAGGTCTCATCAGCCCTATGGAAGCCCCTGGGCAGCAGTTATCCCTTAAAGAAAGTGGTCAGAAATGGCCAGGCCAAGGACCCCCTGACTGCCACTGGCTGGGCCTGTCCACGGCACAAAAGGTGTACTATGGTGATCCCCAACCTTTTTGGCACCTGGGACTGGTCTTGTGGAAGAAAATTTGTCCGTGGATGGGGAGAGGGTAGGGGGTGGCTTCAGGAGGAAACTGTTTCATCTCAGGTCATCAGGCCTTAGATTCTCATAAGGAGTGTGCAGCCTAGATCCTTCTCATGTGCAGTTCACAAAGAGTTTATGCTCCTATGACAAGCTAATGCTGCCACGGATCTGACAGGAGGCAGAGTCAGGGGGTACTGCTTGCTCATGGGTCAGCCACGTACCTCCTGCTGTGTGGCCCAGGTCCTAACAGGCCACACACCTGTGTCAGTCTATGGCCTGGGAGTTGGGGACCCCTGGTGTAGGGAATCCAGAAGGCACTCCACCTAGAAGCTGCTGACTGGACCACACTTCTTGAGACAGGCTCTCACTTAAAATTTGCTGAGCAGGCCAGGGGAGGTGGCTCATGCCTGTAATCCCAGCACTTCGGGAGGCCGAGGCAGGAGAATCACGAGGTCAGGAGTTCGAAACCAGCCTGACCAACATATTGAAACCCTGTCTCTATTAAAGATACAGGCGTGGTGGTACATGCCTGTAATCCCAGCTACTTGGGAGGCTGAGGTAGGAGAATCACTTGAACCCAGGAGGTGAAGGTTGCAGTGAGCCTAGATTGCATGCGCCATTGTACTCCAGCCTAGGCGACAGGGCGAGACTCCATCTCAGAAAAAAAAAAAAATGTTTGCTGAGCAATCACACTTCCTCAGCTGCCCTTGAATGTGCCGATGACTTGTTGAAATCATTAAATCGATAATGACAGACAGAATAGTTACAGTTCTGAGGAAGCCAGGGAAAAATATACGTATACACAGACACATAGATACTTATGTATACAGAGGGAGAGAGTAGACAAAGGAATGATGGAATACAATTTTAAAATGACATTCAAAATTGGTGAACATCCTACAGGGTAATAAAACTGTAACACACACAGTTATTTTCTACTTGCCAGAAATCCTTTACACCTCACTGGATGAAAATCATCTGTAGTTTATCAGTTTTCTATAAGTTAACATGGAACTTTAGAGTCTAGGCCTGATCCATAAACTGTAAATCAGACAAGACAATATTTCCTAGAGAGCCAGACACCTGCAGGCAGGCGTGTTGGATAACACACAGGGATAGGCATGTAATCATCTTTATGCCTCGCTTCCAAGTTTTAGGTAATTAACACTTCTCTTGGGGAGTTACATTCTATCAGGGGAGGGATATAAATAAATAACCAGTTCAAATAGCGTGACAAATCTGTCACACAATATTTATTTATTTATATCCCATAAAAGGGGCACTGAACTCAGACTTAAGTTGTGAGGGCACAAAGGCATCCCACAGGAAATGACACTTAACATAAGCCTCAAGGGTTGTGAATTAGCCAGGTGCAGGGAGGGAGGAAAGGGCAGGAATGAGCAGAAGAAAGCAGGAGAAAACAGCATAAAGGTGTTTTTCTGGTTTTGTTTTGTTTGAGACAGGGTCTTGCTCTGTCACCCAAGTGTGATGAAATTATGGCTTACTGCAGCCTCAAATTCCCAGGCTCCAGTGATCTTCCTGCCTCAGCCCCCTGAGTAGCTGGACTACAGGCATGCACCACCATTCCCAGCTAACTTTTAAATTACTATTATTATTTTAAAGACAGTCTCCCTCTGTTGCCCAGGCTGGAGTGCAGTGGTGCAATCACGGCTGACTGCAGTCTTGACTTCTCAGGCTCAAACTATTCTTTCACTTCAATCTCCCAAGGTCTGGGGCCACAGTCATACATGCACCACCATGCCTGAAATTTTTTTTAGTTATTTTTATTTTTTTGGTTGATA